TTATATATATTCTGTTACTGAATATATATACACACACATATATATATATTCAATTTTTTTTCAAAAGTAGGAGAGTAATAACTCGCTAAAAGTACAACCAGATAGAATTTCCCATATTGAGGAACTGGCTTTTTCAATAAGCCTTCAGAATCCGAGGTTTATAGAATCTAAAATCCAGAAATATCCAGAAATCAGACAATAAATTAAACATTTAAGCACTATGGGTAGACTCTAAAATAGACTCTAAAAAAATATTTTTAGTCTCATTATTTCTGATATCACTTTGTTCAGGAAATTTCTGACCAAAAGTATCCTTTGGCTGTTAGAATTATTTATAGATTTTCACTGTGTGTGTGTGTGTGTGTGTCTGTGTGTGTTTGCATTTGCACACATTGTCATTGGGAAAGAATTATCTAGTCAATTTCAAAGAAGTTAAAAATGGATGGTACCCAATTTGGTGTGTAAAGCTACTAGAGTCCACAACACTTGGATTAGAGATATGAAATCTCGATACTTAGAATCAGTTAAGCTACAGGAAAACCACCTTTGAGTCATACTAGCACCAAGCTAAAACATTTCACAGCTTTCTACTCTGGGAAATAATGGGGAGAGTTTAAAACTGTAAAATTTTAGTTCATTTAGTTTGGGGCTGAAATTGCTTACTTGAAAAATCTGGCGCTATATATATTCCTCACCTTTGTAAATACCACTACAATTTTGCCTTTCTTTAGTATTCAAATCCAGGCTCCACACTCTAAGTGAGTTTCATGTTTTCATGAAAGTAGTCAAGTGAGAGAAACAGTTGAGTGAGGCTGTTGACATTGGCCACAAACATCCTCAGGATTCTGGGGTTCTTTTCTGTTTGTTGTTGTTGTTGTTTGGTCTTTCCCCCTTATAAGAACAGGTTTTGCTGTTGTTTACATTTTCTTTAACACAATATGTAAGAATTACAGTGTTTTGATTTTAAATATCTGACCAAAAAAAGTGAGATAAAGCCCATTCTTTATGGTTCAAAGACATGTGGAAAAGTGAATGTAATTTGTGTCTCCTCCAACCCCAACCCCACCCCCCACAGTTTTGTTTCTGCTTTTGGTTGGGTTTTGTTTCTGCTACTTTTAAATCCCCAGAGAATATTATTTGCACAAATTTAGTCTTTAAAAAAAAAACCCTAAAACATGAGTAGAAAGTGGTAAACCCTGCTCAAAAGAAAATTATAGATCACCCTTTAAAATAACTCTGTACAAAGTTTTCTTCAATTTTCTGTTGACCATACGTTTTGTAGAATCATGGCCAGCAGTGTTAGAAATATCCTTTGCTACATTATCTGCCTCTTATTTTCTTACTCTTAGTTTTGTTCATATGTTTAATAGTTGAAAATAAATCATACTGTGTCCTGTTATAACTTGTTTACTACTTCCTTTCATTGTGTTTTGAATGTCACACATTTGTATTTTATGTAATTTTTTGATATTCAACTTTTTCATCCTATTGTCAGAGAATTATGCAGGCTGTTCATAAGTGGATTGTCATCTTTTTTCCCTGATTGTTTGGGTTTTTTGTTTGTTTGTTTGTCTTTGCTTTAAAACCCTAAAACCACCAGCTTATTTTATTTTCAGGTTTTCTGGTATGTCTTCCCATTTTTGTGTGTAGAGAAATGGCCCCTGAAAATGTTGGTTCAGCATTTAAGTGATAAATACGTTTTACTTTATGCTGGTAATTACTATGATACTTCAGTGCAACTAGCAAGTGTTAGCCTTCTATATATAGAAGGCTGTTATACTGTATTTCTAAATACTTTGTAAGTATATGGTAAGAAATACCTATTAGAATAGTAATTGCAATAGCCTCACCCTATTTTTATTTCTGCCACTAGAACTTGAAAGCTGCTCTTAGGTACTTTATCTCAGAGCAGGAAAGGAAAGAGTAGGCTGCCCTTGGCCCACCTTTGTGCTAGAGTTAGTGTGCTCTGCCCTTCCTGTTTAGACACAAGACTGACTTTTACTTCAGAATTGAATTCTTTAGCAGCTGCATACCAGTTTACCTTCATATCCTCAGTACTGGGTTTCTTCTTATCCTTTCATGCTACCCTCTTCCTCTGGCCTCAGAGTAAGTACATTTGCTGGCTTAATTATTTTTGTTTACAAAATTAACAGTGCACCAATTAATATAGGAATTTGTCTCTGATTCAAAAAATCTGTGTGCATGTTCTTATTCTCTTAGATGGTAATAGACTTCTGATAAAGTTACTGCAGCCTTTCCACAGTTTCTGTTCTTTTGGATAGCTCCCTCTTTCATATTTAAAGATTTTCTTTCAAACATAGTACTGTGATAAAACCTCTGGAGCAACTGATGGAATTTTCTATAAATGAAATTATCCAGGTTTTACTTGCTCATCACAGTGAAGGGCCTGAAGAGCAGAATGAGTGCCTTTGGTTGTGTGGGCACCTTTAGGCCAGGGTGTCCTGCCGGCTCTAGTGACCCCCCAAAGACCGACAGCTTGATCATGAGCCATCTCTTTGGACCTTTCATAGAAACGAGTCCCATTTGCGACGGCACCTGCCCACAAAAATGGGGTCAGAACCAAGGGTATTCTTTGGCACATAAGGCCAACCAATCTTTCATATGTATCTACCAAGCTGTGCCCTAAATATTAAATTCCAATTCTGTCTGCCTTTGGTACTCAGTCTTTAAATAAATGATAATTATGATATAGACAGTGTTATAAAAGGCCAAACCAATAATTTGATAAAAACATTTTCAGAACTATTAATGGGAGTGCAATTTAATGTTCACAATATATAATAATCATTTAAACATATACCAATTTTCATAAGTTTGGAATGCAGCCTTTTTTCTGGTACTATATATAAAATATTAACCCATTAAATTAGGAAGAGTTTCACATTTTTAGAAATTGGACCCAAACTTATTACCAGGGCCATCAAGAATATGCAAACTCAGGAGTGATGAAGTCGTCATCTGTGAAGCCACTGTCTTCCAATTCAGACACCCACATGAGACAGTTCAGAATTTCTAGGCTGAATGGATGACCTAGAATTTGTCCCATATAGCTCTACAGATCATTTTGCCTATCAAATGAGAGGACCATCTCACCATTATCTTGACATTTTAAGATAGCGCTTTACCTCTAAAACATTTTAATAAATGTTTAATAAATTATAGATTTCTAAATGTATGACAAATTTTAGTTTCCAAGCATACCAAATTATCTTTCATAAGTTATATAAGGTTTTCCATCTCCCTGAAATCTTTTTCTCCCTCTTCTTGAATCCCTACTTATCCATCAAGACACAGCTTTCATTTTATGTACTTGACCTTTTCTGTAAAGTGATCAGAACTTCCTTTTTTAGGCAAAGAGAAATGCCAGAAATTCAGCAAATTGATTAGGAAAAGTTGTTGGATCGTTCGAGTTCATTTTAATTATGAAATGGCTCTTCGGTGCTTTATCATTACGGAATGTTTCACTGTCAGTCATTCCTCACTCAGTCATTCCGGGGGAGTGTCAGATCCCAGGCTGTCAGTGAGGAGGTGACTTCCCCAAGGTTAGCTGGAATTGGCTGCAGATACCAGGTTGGCGCCCAGAGTCTTGGCATTGGGATCTCCCTTCCACAGGTATTACTCCCTCCTCCTGTTCTTAAGCCATGGCAGATGGCATCTGGGCAGTGCAGCAGCATCAGGAAAAAAGATATCTAATTTAAGAAATTTCAACATGATTCCATATTCTTAATCAATCTTCTTTTGAGCGTTCTGACCAAATGACCTAAAGATAGAGATGAACCCATCTATGTTTGTAAAATAAAATACCATAGGGACTCACAATTTATTGAAATTTAATAAAAGTTATTTCCAAAGAATGTGAATCCTGGGGCAGTGAGGCCATTAAATTAACCAACCCATCTTAAGAGGTGGATTATGGACTGAAGTACTTTGAACACAGCCCTTCAAACACCAGAATGTTTAATTTTTTTCACATCACATCTGTCCTGCTATCTTCTGGTCTTTGGTGAATCCCCTCTCGTGTTTGTAAATGAAGCCATATTTACCATTATAATAGTTACCTTTAGCTCCTTTTGCTCTGAAACTAGGGACATGGAACTGTTTCGTTTCTAATGTGTGCCCTGATGCTAGTAAAAGCAGCAAGCAGTGGTATTTAATATACAGCACTTCAAATTCCATATGAAATGTTTAAATAACCACACAATTTTTTAAAACACAAGTGTCCTTTACACTAGCTACTTTGGAAGTAGTAATACGTTTTTCTCATCATGTTGCCATCATGCTAATAAGCATTTTTGGAATTCCTCCTTTGTAATTGCTTTAAAATCCACATGTAAGCCGCATAAGAAATCAATCTTTTTGCTTTATAATCCTGTCTAGGTTAACATACAAAAATAGCATTGCCCCACTGGATTTCTTACTTTATAAATCTGACTTGGCTCTACTGACTTTGGTCTCTTTTTAAAATTACTTCCCTTCTCAATATGAGCAGCTGTCACTGTTGGGTGAGAATATGCTGGAGGGGGAGAGCCAGTATAGCTGGGTTAAAATGTCTAATCACTCAAGTTGACCATTTGATGGAGACAATACTAACTTGGATTTTCTAATAAGTACATATTTTTAAATAGCCCCTAGTTTTCCTTCCCTAATATCTATGCCTCCCAAATTCAAGGGCAAATTATAATTTTTATTTCTCGGGCTACTTATTTTAATTTCATTTTTCAGAAATGCAACAAGAGCTAATGTCCTCTTAAGCTGTAAAATATTAGTACACATCTTACTAATGATAATCGATTCCTGTTATACTTCATTTTTTCCTATAACCTTAGCTCCTTAAACTCACCAATAACTGAACCGGTAATGATTACAAACCTTCTAGAACAGAAACAGAGAAGACAGCAAATTGGAGTATGTGCTTGGGGCAGGGGCCAGGAGGGTCCGATACAGACCACATCTGCATCCTGTGGATCAGCGGCCCTGGAGTGAGCAGGGAACTGTGAGCATGGGAGCTCGTGTTATTGCTACTGTGCCTGTCTCAACCCTCACCCCCAATTATCTTCATGTAAAAAAACCTCTGAATCTAGGGGTCCTTCTACTGGTCTCCATGTGATAGTGTCTGTATCAGTCAAGGAGTAGGAACTCCACACCTTCAGAGGTGAGAGTCTTAATCCACAATGAGCTTGCATGTGTTTCCAACAATAAATTTCACTCCCGTATCACATTTGCATCTGGCTCTCAGCCTCTCAGTTCACTCTCTTGGATCATGTTCATCTTTCATTAATGTAACAAGAGATACGGTGACTTCTGGCATGGTTTTCTGATCCATGTCCATTTTAAACAACAGTGAGTCAGACAGATACAGGACAGGATATGATTCGATCTTCTAACAGCACACTGATTATTAGGAAGACAAAGTAAAGGAGGAACATTGTGAAGCCCAGGATCTTGTTCATTCTCCATTTGCATGATGCAATTGAAGAGATCACAAACAGGAGCATGAGAAAAAGCAAAACGATTGCACAAAACAAGCCATTGCTGCTGACTGGAACAGGCTGTAGTCCATTGATAAGAGAGAACAGGAACCAAGGAACAGGCAGACTGCAAGATTGAAGAAACAATGTGAATGTTCTTCATGTTACTAATCATCCCATATACTTAAACAGTATTTTACAATTTACAAAGCATTTTTCCACACACACAAAAAAAACCTATGAAATAGAGCAGAAAGTATTAGCCCCATTTCACAGATGAGGATACTAAGGTTCAAGGAAATTAAATTACTTCCCTTGGACTTATAACAGAGAGCTAATAACAGAGAGCCTAGATTAAAACTGAAGTTTTCTGGATCTGAGTGTTTTTTCTTCATACTTCATACTTCATGACTTCTGTATGACTAACCCAGATCAGTTGATGTGTGACTATAATCTCTAAATTTTTATAAGGCCCACCCAGCTCAGCATAACATTTCTTTACCTTCTTTAATGGTCAAGGTTCTATGCCCTTTTACCTACCCAACCCATACATATACATAAATCCAAATTAACAAAACCAAAGCCACCACCCCAGTCCAGGACATGGCTGGGAAATGAAACTATCTCAGATGCTCTGCTCTGACAATGCTGGGAGGAGGGGTAAGGGGCCAGGTACAAGAGGACACAGCATTTGCTTGTTTATACAAAATGCTTTTCCAGCTGGCAGGAACCCAAAGGCAAAGGAGCAGAAACATCAGGAAGTGAGACTGAGTCATTGTTCCTTCCAACCCCACCTCCTCCACCTTGGAGGTCAGTGAGCAGAGCAGAGCGTTTGACTGTATTTGGCAATGGAAGTTAATGAACTTCACTTTTCAATTCATCTATAAATTAGTTACATTTATGGCAGCATTTTTGTTCTGTTATACCATCTGGCTGTGATGAATGAAGGGAGGATACTTTTGTTGCCTTGTAGAAATTAATAATATAAATAAATGCTCTTTTATTCCATGTATAACGAATGAAACAAAACCAGCAAACAGAGCCAAAGCAAGGTTTTCCAGTCTTACTTAATATGCCTTAGAAAACAATTTTGCCACTCACCCCACGGTGATATCAAATATGTTACTGCCCACAGAGCTTGACACGGCCATGTCTCCCAGGCCTTTCCGAGCAACAATCACACTGGTGATGAGGTCAGGAATTGATGTGCCTGCTGCTAGGATGGTCAAGCCCATAATCTCTTCAGAAATCCCTATTGTTTCGCCAACCTGGTAAACAGTAACAGTAATAAGAAACCATGGCAAGAGCAGGTGGAAAATCAGAGGCTCTTCAATACACCAACCGCATACTACTTTGTGCACACCCAACACTGCCCATGGAGCCCAGCACACTCCCTTGGCCTGAATGAGGTAGAGTGATGGCAGAACTGACAGCTGGGGAGATGGGCCATAGAGAGAACAGGGCCCTGCTCAAGGTTTCAGGGAATGATGGTGCTTGTCTAACAGACTAAAAGTCCATCTATAATACTACCTCCCACTGTTAATTCCAACTACAGCGCCTCTGCTTCTAAAAGAACTGCTCCTCCAAGATCTCTGTTCATGTCAGATTTCCATTTCCAGAACCACAGACACCTGCTATGTGCCAGGAATTAAGAGGCTGGAAATAGTAATATGAGCAGTACAACACTGACCCTACTCTTGGCCTAGTGAAGGAGAAAAGCTTATAAACAATGATTTCAGCTCTATGCTAAGTGCAATATTCCAGGTAGAACAGAAAAGCCATAGGCACTCAGAGGAAGACTGATTAAGTGCCAGAGAGGAGGTAAAACCGAGCTTGCTCTCATAAGTGTGTTCACCAGGTAGAGAGGAGTGGGAGATGCATGACAGGGAAAGCAGGAAATAAGGCTAATAAGAAATGGTCAACTGGAAGCAGATTGTGAAAGGCCTTCTACATCATGCTACAATGTAAGAAGAGCCACACATGAAAAATACTACATTCACGGGAATAAAAAGTCTCCCTTTGTAAATGATCTAGAAACTATACAAATTCGCCTGATCCTCACCATTCCCTAGGTACTGGGAATTTATCCTGAAAGAAAAAAATGTACTTGGGACTTGCTGATGCAGAGTTTTAGTTCCTGCTGTTTACTCACCTGGTGAGCCCACCACACCATGAGGTATGAGAACATGGCTATCCATATGATGGATCCCAGGAAGGTGATAACAAAAAACTTCCTAGACTCCTGTTTGAAAGTTTGAAAAGAAAGAGAAATAAGTTGCAGAGGCTAAAGGCCTTTGGCCCTTCAGAGGGGGGCCCGGGATCAGTGATTAGACCTGCTGGAGGAGTGATGGAGAGGATCTGGAGATGTTTGAGCTGAAATCTCTGTTTCTAGTGAGGACCTTGAGATGGCTGGGAAAGGATGGGGTTGGTGGCGAATAGGGGAGTCCAGCCAGTGGGGTATTCAGCAGTCGCCAAACTGAAGAGAACTATTTGCTTGCCCTAGAACCAGACCAATCTAGGTAATTTGTTCGGTTTCTGCAACCTCTGCCTGCCCTGCCCCTCTCCAGCCTTTGGGTTGAATATGCTAGTCAGATCCTTCCCAATAAATAGAAGTGCTGGGTAGAAATAGCACTTATTACTCTGAGTTTTGACAACATTCCTGTGAAATGTGGAGGTGGTGTAGATACTGAGATAGGAGTCAAGGAAGGACTAGTTCACATTGCTTATAGTGGTAGAAATCAGCACATTCTAGAGCCTCCCAAGCCCGTCGGCATGTCCCCCTACGTGCATGGTCCCTTCTGGAGCTGCAAATTCCATCCTAGAACTTCTCTGCAGTTGAGCCCTGCCATACTGGTTGACCCTGTCCTCTACCTACTCTTTGGTGAGAGTGCCTAGAGACCCCACAGCCTTCCTGGGGACAGATAGCCTGGGGACAGATAGGCTGGGCACTCACCAGCCTCCGTACGTCGGGCACCGTCAGCCACAGCGGGAACACGATGGGCAGGAGGAAGAGGTAGATGGCCTGCTTCTGCCTGGTCTCAGGCCACTCCAGGGACAAAGGCTCCTCATTTTCTTCCTCTTCCTCTTCCTCCTCCTCGTCTTCATCCTCATCATCCTCATCCTCATCCTCCTCCTCTTCCTCATCTTCACCGTCACCTCCATCACCACCCCCTTCACCATTTGTACCTTTTTCATCACTTTGGGCTTCACCTTGATTTTCAGCATTGAATTCCTGCTCTTCCATTTCACCTTCATCACCTTCTTTCATTTCACCATCTTCTGCTTGTAATTCACTTTCACCTTCATCATTTCCTTTTCTTTCTGCTTGGATTTCACTGTCCTTCTCGTCTTCACCGTCACCTCCATCACCACCCCCTTCACCATCTGTACCTTCCTCATCACTTTGGGCTTCACCTTGATTTTCAGTATTGAATTCCTGCTCCTCAGTTTCACCTTTATCACCTTTCATTTCACCATCATCTGTTTGGAGTTCACCTTCATTTCCTTTTCCTTCTGCTTCAGTTTCACCTTCCCCTTCATCGTCTCCTCTTTCTGCTTCACTTTCACCTTTACCTCCTTCACCATCTGTACCTCCCTCATCACTTTTGGCTTCACCTTGATTTTCAGCATTGAATTCCTGCTCTTCCATTTCACATTCATCATCATCTTTCATTTCACCATCTTCTGCTTGTAATTCACTTTCACCTTCATCATTTCCTTTCCTTCCTGCTTGGATTTCACTGTCCTTCTCGTCTTCACCATCACCTCCATCACTGCCTCCTTCACCATCTGTACCTTCCTCATCACTTTGGGCTTCACCTTGATTTTCAGTATTGAATTTCTGCTCCTCAGTTTCACCTTTATCACCTTTCATTTCACCATCATCTGTTTGGAGTTCACCTTCATTTCCTTTTCCTTCTGCTTCAGTTTCACCTTCCCCTTCATCGTCTCCTCTTTCTGCTTCACTTTCACCTTTACCTTCTAGTTGAGTTTCACTTTCACTTTGCTGTCCATTTTTGCCTTCACCAGGAGCGTTAGCCTCTTCATCAGTTATTTCACCTGTGCTCCCAACTCCAGCCACATTTCCTTCCTACAATCCAAAGCCAACAGATTAATGTATAACAACAACTCTTTGTTTTCCTTCTCAGTTTCTCCCTATTATTTTTGTTCTTCTCAGAACGTATCTGAAAATGAGTATGAGGAGAAAACTAGTGAAATTATTAAGCAAAATTCCCTTCACAACATTCCTACTCAATTGTTGTCCAGTCTCTGTTTCCAAGGATGGAGAATTCACTGTCTAAAGTAGCTTCTGTCATCTATGACAACTCTGATTGGTTTGAAATCCACATTTTTGCCAAGGAGTGACCTGCTGTGTATATGTTTACTCTTTGGAGACACACAGAACAAAGCTAATCACTCTCTCACAAGACAGCTCTCTTCCCTTCGTTAAAGATTCCCCTGTGCTATGGCCTAAAGCCTCCTCCCCATCTTGGTGAGTACATTCTAATTAGCTGATATCCCATGAGGAGGCTTCTAAAACTAAACAGAACACTGCACAGAATCTAATAGGATTATCACCTCCCTTGTCTTAGATACAATGCTTCCATTAAGGTTGCCTAATACAGCATGGTATCATATTGCTGAGTCCACTAAACACCTAAACTGTTATATTACTTTATATGTATAAAACAATGATAATGATACTTATATATTGAGGGATTTATGTGGCAAGGCACCATGTTAAGTGGTGGTATAATATTAATAATATAATAATAACTAGCACTTATGAGTCAATTAATTTATGATATAGATAGAATTAAACCCATCTGACAGATGGAGAAACTAGGGTACAGAGTAGTTAAATAATTTGCCCCTGGTCCACATTGTTTGTAAGTGATGAAGTTGGGATTTGAATATGGATAGTTCCAACTGTTGGCCTCTTAACCACCAAGCTACCCTGCTTTGCAAATGCTAGGGCCAAATTAGATCTTTGGTTCTCAAACTTCATAGTCTGGAGAGTTTATTAGAAATACAGGTTTCTTCACCCCACCTGGACCAACTGAATTAGAATCTCTGAGAATGGAAGCCAGGAACCTATTTTAACATGCTCATAAGTGCTCCCAACAACTCCATCTGCAGACCGGTGTTTGTGGAGCTGTGGACTGACTCTACGCACTCTAAAAGCCATTGATTCTGAAGTTCTTCAGGTTAGGCTCTCCACTAACCTAAAACAATGTGCTGGTCCAAATCTCTTGAACAAATGTTCTGTGTGTTCATGGAGTGCTTCTTCTGTAACAAATTTCATGACACAGCTAGCCCCCAAGGGATGCATAGTGATTCTCAACTCTGTTGCATATTAAAATCACCTGGAGGCTTTAAAAACATTCATGCCCAAGAATCCACCACAGATATTCTGACTTAATTGGTTGAGGGTGGGCCTGAGCATTTTTTAAAGCTTCCCCAAATTATTCTAATATGGGACCAGGGTTAAGAACACCTGATGAAGTCAAATATTGATATTTATGAGTCTTTGATATGAATTGGGAATGAAGAGCGAAAAGATTTTAATCTGAAATAATTCCTGCCTTCCCTCTCTAGCCCTATCAGGAAAGAAGTCTTCCTGGTGGAGATGACAAATCACTTAAATTGACAGGTATGGGAGTGTCTGCCCCAGCCTGCACTCTCTTCTCTGAGAACTGTCACCCTTAATACTCCCTTCTTCTGTGTTGGAGTCAAAGTACCCAACCTCTCGCTGTCACAGCTGATGGAACATAGGCTGGATCCCTGCTCCATGACCTAGTTTGAATGAATTCCCTCTATCCTGTGACTAGGAGCCAGTCACTGGGTGATCCTCCTGTGGACTGGAGGACTGGGGTAGTGGTTTTGAGCTATGTGTTGCTAATAAGGGAGCAAATGGAGCCAAGCTGCCAGAAGCCAAGTGCTAGAACCTGCACACACAGAAGGGGATATGAGGCAGAGCAGGACACGGAATGAGAAGCCACCAGGGTCACAGATGCTTTCTCAGGCCTAGGTCCAGCTCTTCATGACACCAACCTTCACTTCTTGCCCTGGGATTCCAGGAGATACCACTACATTCTCTTAGTCCCTTTTATTTGAGCTGGCTATAATCGGCCTACTCAGGACACTCATGATACCGTAAAGATGTCTTAGACACTCAACCCAAAATTGTTGGCTTAAGGATAAGATATAATTAAGTACTTCTGGGTGTCAAAAAAAAAAAAATCAGGGTTGGAACTCGCAAAAACTGAATGCTTACTATCAGTCATTCAACCTTTATTGAGCACAACCATGGGTCAGGCCTTATGTTTCTGTCTGTGGGGGCAGACAGAGACAACTCAGACTTGGATCTTGCCTTCAGGAACCTCACCACCCAGCAGGGGAACTAAGAGAGACTAATAAATAGAGAACAAGGAAGGCAGTGATAAGAACGCTGAGAGAAAGACAATGGACCATGGGCATTCAAATTGGGGTGGTGGGAGGGATCAGGGAAGCCTCATAGCAAAGGAGGCATTTGCACTAGCCTGGAGAGAGATCAGGATATATGAAGATGGAGGGGAAAATGCATTCTTTGGGGGGAGAAAACCGTGTGAGCCAAGGCCTAGAGGTAGAAAAGCATGGAGACAAAAAGTCCAGTTTGGCTGGAGCATGATGGAAGAAGAGGCTGTGAGGCTGTAAAGACGGGAGTGTCAGGACTCAGGAAGCCCTGAGACAAGCCCTGCAGACAAGGCCAAGATGCTTCAGAAGGTTCCAGGGTTTTACCCAGCAACCCCACCCCCAAACACACACACATTTTGAGCTGACTGGTCTCACCGTCTCCTAGTTGCTGACAGGCCGCCTAACAGCGATTCCTTATGTTTTTACATTCCTTATGGCAACGCAGTCTCATATATATCATTTCACTCATATTAAGGTATTACAGTGAATTAACTGGCCCCATGAAGTTTTTGATCTTCAGAGAAAGGGCAATGCTACCCCTGAGGAATGAACCTGAAATAGTATTTCAGACCTTCAGGAAGGAAGGATTTCTGGTCAGCAAGTCCTTCCCGGGACCTCTCAAATTCCTCCACCTGGGAAGAGGCTTGTGCATACCTGATAGCCAGGATCCTTCTCCTGATCTCCCTTGACGTCTGGAGCAGGGGCTGGTGTGACCGTGACCGCAGGGAGCTTGGCTGGCTCCTCCTCTTTAAAGGATGATAAACATGGGATAGGTCAGAAAAGTGCCAGGTTTCGAGGGCAGCTGGCAGAGACTGATGTGAGTAGCTACAGGGCTACTGGACTTGTCCACTCCAGGGTCTCGGAAGGTTTGTTTGGGGAATTTCTTGTTGATAGGAGAAGTAAAATGACATGATGTGACCTGTTGTTGCCCTGTCCACAGAGATATCTATAGATGAGAGGACAGCTGGGAAGTGACCGCCCTTGCTCCCCCTATATTCCCAAACATTTCCAGCCTGGCCAGTGTGGCCAAGGATACTGTGAATAGCTTGGGCAGCTGGAGCACAGAGAGGGCAAAGCCCCAGCCCGCAGGGTCTGACATTTCCCCCTACCAACTGTATGGAGAGGATTATGATGATTTCAAAGGCAACAGCTAGGAAGTCTTGGAAAGTCTGGAGGGCTAGGTTTAAGTACAAGCTCTCTCACATCTTGGCTGGATGGCTTTGGGCAAATCTTTGACCTCTTTGAGCCACCTTTGTCTATAGAATAGGAACAATGACTGCTGCTCTACCTCCCTCCAAGGATTGCTGGGTACATCAGGCAGGCTTGGTGTGCTGTACATAGCCCATGGAGCAGTAGCTGTCTCACTCTTCCTGTCCCAGCTGCCACACAGGTGCTGGACTTCTGTGTCACCAGACCCCTAGCGGCTTCCTCTCACTGGGGTTGCTGATCTCAGACCCATCCCTAGCAAAATTGTCCTTGTGAAAAGTAGGAGGAAGAAGAAATAGACCCAGTCAAGTCAAATTTGAGACAAGATTTAGCAAAAAAGAAATGGGAGTTCAACAGCCCCCGGCCTGACTTCGCCTACCACATCTGAGGAGAGTATGGAGGGGGATGTATAGGGCTCCCTTTCAGAAGTGGGAGGCTGGAGTGTAAGGCAACACCAGATTGTCACTCCAGCTGACTGGCTCAGGGAGGCCAAGAGGCCTGACTCAGTCCTTGGCCAACAGGAGGGAGAAAGGTGGCAGGAGAAAATCCGCTGGTCTCGCCATCCTCTCACCTTCTGGTTTGCTCTCCGCTTTGGCCTGAGGCTTGACTTTGGCCTCTTGATTCAAGCTCTCCTCATCCTTGTTCCTGGAGGAGTGGGCTGCAAATGAGAAAGCAAACACATCTGGGACCACAGTATCCCTGCCACACCCTTCAGTTAGGCTGGCCAGCTGGCAACCAGAGCAGCTGAAGTGTGTTGGGAAGAGGCTGGCCTAGGAGTTGTGATGTCTGGATTCTAGTACAACTAGGCTTGTTCATGGTGCCCAGTTCCCAAACCTTGTCTTAAATTCCTTGCATTGTCACTTACTGGCTATGGTCTTGAGCAAGTCACTTCTCCTTTCTAGGCCTACTTTCTTTCTAAGAAAATGACATAGTTAATCTTGGGGACAACAAATAGGATTTTTTTCCTCTGTGAGCTCAAGTGATGGCTCCTTGGATGCTGAATTGAGGAGAATTCTCATCCAAGCTTGGTAGGAGAGTGCCGTGATTGATTGGGGATGTTTGCAACAGGCAGAAAATGGAGAAATAATAGAAGGGAGATGCTTTTGCCATCCTTGGACTAGATTATCTGTAAGGTCCTTTGCAGCTTACTTTCTATGAATCTCTTAAAAAGTTTTGCTATAACTCCAGGGGCACTACTGGTGGCCATGTTCATGAACCCTCCCTCTCCAGTGGGAAAGAGGAAATAGCTGCCCCCAAGCTCCCTGCCACACCCTTTTTGACCCCAGATATCTGGTACCCAAGCAGGGCCTCTTTCCAGATCCTTGTGCACATGCTTTGCTGGGGGTCCACAGAGCACTATGCACAGAATGGTGCTACCTTGATTTCTAGGCAAGAAAAATGGGGAGGGCAACTCTCTTTCAATGTGACTATGTTCTGGGCAATATGCAAAGTGCTTTACATGTATAATTTTAGGTGGGAAGCATAGAGACTAAGGTGCAGGGGTTCATAACAGTCCACCTCACAGCCATGTAGTCTGGAAGGGTAAGGACTATGGCACATGTGATAAATCAAAGTGGTGACATGGAATCTATCCTGGATTCCAGGCTGGCTCTGCCCTGTGAGCACTGGGTGAACTTGGAAAGCCCATGTACCCTCTCTAAGCCCAAGTGTCCCCTCTCTAAAAAGGTAACACCATGATATACTCAGACTAATGATGTGGGGATCCATGAGACAAAAATAAATAAAAATACATTCACTGCTGCCATTAAATATTATTATGTTAGCTCAGATTCTGGAGCCAGACAGCCTAGATTAGAATCCTAGATCTGCCACTTGCTAGCCATGGACCTAGCTAGGTGATTCCTTAACTTCTCTGTACCTCAGCTTCTTCATCTGTAAAATCTTAGAGAGTTGTGAACAAATAAATGAATTTATACGTGAACATGCTTAAAATAGTGCCTGGCACTTAGAAAACACTATATCAGTTGTAGCTCTGACAACAATGATGAAATGACATTAGTTGAGAGCAGCTGTCCCACTCAGACTGCAGTGATGAGGCCCCACATTCTAGAGGGTTTGGGTTAGAAGGGACCCTAAAGATCCTCTAGTCTATAATCCAGATAGACTGAGCAGGTGCAATCTGGGAATCTGGGTGGATCAAACTCTGCCTGGGTCCAGGATGGGCAGGATACATAAGCAGGTTTGGAATTCTCTCCTCTCGACCTGTCTCCTAAACTGCAAATCGGTTCAACTGCAGCTGCCTCTGGCAACAGGCTCCATCTTGCAAAGCTACCACTCTGGCATGTGTGATCCCTTGAAGTGTTCCGGTGGGCCTGCCCAGGATGTCCTCATCAGAAATGAGATGTCAAGAGGAGAGGACTCCATTGCCTCCTTCACCCAGACAAGTCCAACACCCGCCTAGCGGCTGTTATCAAAGAAGGGCTCTGTGGTTCGTCCTGGGGCTGAGAACATCTGCTGACCTGACTGGAAGGGCTGGCAAGAAAATCGAGTTCCCTTCTTCCCTTGTCATCCCTCATCTCACACCCTAACCTCTCATATCCCATGACACCAAGGAGAACAAGTCAGGGCCTCTCTCTGCTTCTCTCTGTCTCTGTGTCTCTTTCTGTGTCTCTATCTCTGTCTCTCCATATCTTATACACATGCACACTTGCACATGTCTGAGTAAAATCACCAGAAGGGGCATCGGATTCTGGAGAGGTAAAGCCCCTTCACAGGGTAAGTGAGAGTTTACACTATAGATCAGTTTTGTGGAAGAGCTAGAACATTCGGAAATGGCGGAAACACCTGGATAGCCATTTGGAAACTGCATATGGAAACACAAACATGTATCTGGAAAGTCTTGGGAACAAAGACCTTCATCACAGCACTGCATGGTCCTAGCCCCTCCTGGATGGAATCTCAGGGTGTAGAATTGGGGTCAGCTTCTCTGAACAGGACTGCATCCCAGAGTATGTCAGCAATTCTTCACAGTGTGGGTCGTTCCATGCCCACCACACATGCACACGATGGACCATACATGACTGTCTTCCCTGGGACGACGGACACTGGCTCCCCGAGAGCTTGTTTCCTCACATGGCCTCTCAGCTCTCAGTGCAGCGGATCATCTCCTTAGTGTCAATCTCCTCTGACCTCGGCCTGGCCTGGACATCACATAATCCTGTTAGCACAAGTAGGCCAGCTGGCGGCTGGTGGTTGTGGAAGTGGCCCAGGCAGGGGGCCCTGTGGTCCCACTGAAGACAAGTCTTTATCTTTAGATTTTGCCAGAGTCAGTGATTCCACAAGGAGTGGCCAAGCATAGCCCAGAGACACAGCTTCCTTCATAGCGCCTAGGCCAAGTATGTTCCCAGCACTGATCACACACAGGCTGCCTGGTGCTATGGACTCTGCTCTCAAAACCCCAGTGGTACTATTTTTCTGGAGCTGACACTTGGGAGTGGCCTCTCTCGATGTCTGCCGAGGTTCACTTTGAGGATTTTCCAAAGAAGGTTTGATCACCTTGTCTTTGACTCTGATCTTCACAGTATTATATACTTGTTTTAAACATCCAACAACCCAATATTGTGTCTGAAGAAGAAACTTCAGGGCCTGAGAAAATTCTGAGCCCCCCAAATTTGTCCCTGAACCAGAAAAGTCAGTCAGGGTGCTCCTTGGGGCTCATGGGTCAGTCTCTGGTGTCATATTCACCTTAGTCTTCAGCCCTCCTGCTCAACTGCAACTCCAACCCCTTCGCTTCTGTCCAAAGGACAACCTTCCATTGATAGGCCTCCTACCTGGGCTCCCAGTTCTACACCAGAGTCACAAGAATGAGAGGCTCAAGGAGAGCAGGTGCACACTTGAGGAATGCCTTTGGGGAGCCTGAGAATCATGTTGGGGGTACCTCTCTGGAGTAAGGAGCTAGGAGACAAGACTTGGTAAGGTGGATGGTGAGAACCTCAGCTGCCCTCATCATTTTTCAAGTTAGGCCTCAGCCCCTACTGCACTTTGGGCCCTTGCCACCCCCAGAAGTGGTCCTGGCAGCTCCCAGGATATCCTTTAGGATTCCTGGCTGGGGGACAGGTTAGCAGCCTTCTTAGGACACAAGAGCTAAATACAAAGCAAAGGGAGGTGCCATCAGGGCTTCTGACTGTGAGGCCCTACAGGAGGTACCCCCAGAAGTGGTCCTGGCCAGTCAGCCTGAGCCAAGCTGCCTGGCTGGAGACTCTGTGGGACACAGGGGTGAACTTGTGGGTGGTAGGCTTTGCAGGGAAGTCACTGAAGGCAGCCCCAATATAGACCAATGCAGGGCACATGGCACTCATGGCCACACTAATTGCAGTTGAACCCCTTCATTTTACAGGAGAGGACATGGAGGCAGGGGGATAGTGGGATGTAGATACCCAAGGACCTTAGCTCCTTGGGGCCCTCTCCTAGTGAGTTTCGTGTCTCTGTCTCTACCCTGTCTCCCAGACTGGCTTTACCATCCACTGTCTTCTGCTAACTCTCTCTTCCCTCTCCCGCCCTCACCCCACCCACTGCCTATCAGTTTTACAGGTCCCAGGGAGACCACGCAGGTCTGAGGAGGCCTTGCTTACCTTCCCCCAGAGGGTCCAGGCTGTGGAGCATGAGCCAGTAGAAGGAGCTGCGGATGGTGCTGTTGTGCAGAGAGGCTGAGCTACTCCCTCGGGTCAGCACGGACGGGAGCTGAGCAGGAGAGAGCAGCACAGGCCTCAGTGGGCCCCTGCCCGAGCCAGGGGAGGAGCCACCTGAGGGCCTTACTAACCCTGACTTCCTCCCATGGAGATCAGGGTGAAAGCACAGGATCCTTATCATGACCTCCTCTCTTCCTTCACCTCAATCAGGAGAGTCACACTACTTTCTTTCTCAGCCTCCCTTCACTTCTTCCATGACTAGCTAATGCTACATACTGAATAATTCCCCAAAGTCTCAAAAGGGAGCAACAGACAATGTGTACTAAAGACACCACATTCTCAAGAGTTTGTCCATCCTCCCAGGTACACACTCAAAGAAACATACACTCAGTCACACATCACACAGACAGACCCGCTGCACATGGGTACAACTTTTAGCAGTCCGCAAAGAACATCACGGTGCTTTATCATCACCACACCCCCACCCCGAGATAGAAAAGGCTGTGATCCCCTTTTACAGAAACGGAAATGAAAACTCAGCGAGGCCAGGTGGCTCATCTAAGGTCATGCAAGATATAAAGAAAAAGTCTTCACAAGCACCCAGGTCTTCTGAGTCCCAATCCAGATCTATCCACGTAGTAAAGAGACCTTCACAGGCACACGTGTACACACATCTGAAGATGCACACACACATATATCATGCGTACTTATTCATAGTTACACACATAGTAACATCATCTGATTTACAATGGAACTTCCAAAGACAGATGTTTGCTCAGTTCCTCCATCCCCTGCCCTTTCCTCTTCCCCATCCCTCTGGCTCTGAGCTCTTCTGCCATCTAGTGGCTGTGGTAACATAGTACTTTACAACAGGCCTAGGTTGTGGACAGGTGAGGTTTCATTCAGTCCCCACCTCTCCTCTTTAAGGTTCCCATACCTCTTCCCAAATATCCCATAGGCCAAAGTCAGCTAAGACACAGTTTTCCAGAAACCTCAGACTCTCCCACCTCCAGAGCCCCTCCAATGGTTCTCTTAGGTCTGGGTGTTCCAAAGCCACAGGAATTAGGCTTTCAGATCAATCATGGCACATCGGGACTATAAAGTTGGACTTGAGTTCATCTAATCCAATCATTTTACAGATGCAGAATCTGAGGCCCAAGCTCTCACAGCAAGCTAATGGCAGAGTGAGCAGTGACACTCTAGACTTAGCTCTCAAACTAGCACCTCCTCGAAGGCCTCCTCGTGGTGAGAGTCCCTTTGGCAAAAAGCCCACTCCTTCCCTGGCTCACCCTGGCAGCACTCCCAGAAGCTTCCCAGGCTTGAGCCCAGCCCAAGATCCTCAGCATCAGAGCCACAGTGCCCTGAGTCTGTGACTCTCCCATATCCTCACTGGGTAAACTCCACATGGCACCCACCTTTAGCTTCTTGTTATCCTGTAGCTCATCTACCGCAACTGCCCCATCACCTGGCTGCAAACAGGGACAGAAGTCACAAGATGTTTGGAGAGACTCACACTATTTTTCCCTAGTTTCCTCTCTCTCCAGAGAGAGAGAGAGATGGAACACAGAAACACACCCAGAGATAATCTGTCCTTCCACAGCCTGTCTTCAGCCCGCACACATTAATCCCAGTCAATTGTGTCCACTCACCACAGTCCAGTAACGCCACCTGTCTTTCAGTCCCTCAAATGTGCCATCCTCTTTTCCCACCTTGAAGCCCTCATCTCAGAGTGCCCATCTAATTCTCTTTTATTGACTTCTGTTCTTTTCCTTCATAGCGCTTTCTCCAATTTATTCGTATGTTATTTATATATTAGCAAACATGCAAATAAATTGACTACCCCTCAAACATGCAAATAAATTGACTACCCCGCAAGCATCTTGAAGGCAGACTGCCTATTTCATTTACCATGTGTGTCCAGCACAAAAACACCGCTGGGCGCTTAGCAAGGGTTCAATAAATATTTAAGTAAAGAAATTGTCTTCTAAATATACCTAATCTATTCCAGATCCTATTCCCTCATGTATGCCTTTTCCCTCTGCCTCAAATGCCTTCTCCACCCTTCAATGTCTATCAAATTTTCAGAAAATTCAGGGTGAATTCTTAGATAAGCTTTCCCAAATAGCCCCATCTGCCCCACCCTCACTTCAGCTCACTATGACACATTTCTCTTTGAAAGCTATATAACAACAGTGATCATATTTTGTGATACCAAAATCTGGCTCTGTAATCAGACAAGATCAGGCGCGTTCAGGGTGGTATGGCCGTAGATTGGCTCTGTAATCAAATGAGTGCTAGTGCCCTGGGGAAGCTATAGGGCAGCCAGGTGGGAAATGGGGCAGCACTAGAAAATCCAAGATGAAGACTCATTAAGTTCACAGTACTTACTGTCTGGACCACTAGGCTTGCCACTTTGTATTACTGCCTTGCAATGCCATTAAAAAAAAGAAATCATTGTTTAACTTTTCACATACATGAGTTGTCTACCAGTTAGACTCCTTTTTTTTTTTTGAGTATGGTGTGAGACAGGGGTCAGTATAATTTTTCCAGCTGACCAGACATTTTGTTGAAAAGATCATTCTCTCTTCATTGCTTTACTATTCTTTTATCGTAAATCAAGTGTTCATATACATTTGGTTCTCTATTTTGTCTTTATTTTGCTCCATTTTTTTTTTTTTTTTTTTGCCATGCAGTGATACAGTCATTTCTGTTCCCTTAGCCTGTTGCATAGTGTCTTATACACAGTAGGTGCTCAGTAAAGGTGAACTGAATGAGTAGATACTCCCAACTGTCCTCTAGTGCTATCTTCAGGTATTAGGGTCACTAATGGCTGTCCCAGTCATTGTCTTCACCTTCCCATTGCCTCCCCTACCCCACCAACCTCCAGAAATAACTATTCTAAATATGAAGGGTGCACGGTGGATTTTCTGAGCAAATCTCCTGACTCTTTCATGACACACCTGTCAGTTTACTGGGAAACTGGAGTCTATAGCACTGACCCCCACTGCCCCAGCCATCTCCCTGTTTATCATGTCCAACCCTCATCCAATGAGTTCTTAGAGGAAAAGAATGATGAGGAGCCAGGCTGCCCTTTGGGATGGTTGGTTCTGTCCACAGACAGACCGGAGAGACCCACTTTTGTCCCATGATATACACATCTAATGATTTCTCTGGCATTCAGATTTGTTCAAGCCAAAATATTTCTCTCTGAGTCCCAGAATATGCCCTTATTACAAACACATTCCCACATCCACTTCTCATACCACACCATTCTGCCTCCTCTTTCTTCAACCTCATCACCCCATGTTCTCATAAAAATTAGCCAAGGGGCCAAGGAAACTGAAGAGGATCTCTTCATGCCAGTCAAGCCAGCACCACCTGTGATGCATCTTGCTGAGAATGAGCAATGGGAACTGTTCACAGGAACCCGAGGAGGCAAAGGTGATAGCCCTTCAGCTTGTCCTCCTCACTTCCAAGTGCCATCTCCCACTGACACAGCAGTTAATCTACCTCTCCCCTTCTAGGCCGTCCAGGACACAATCCCTGAACCACACATTTTATTCTGCGATTGTTAAAAAACATTCATTTACCAAATATTTACTGAGTCCCTGGTCTGAGTCCTGCCTTCACCCAGGTTATATTCTTCACTTAGCCCTTCACTCAGTATAGTCTTGTACCCTGATTCCCTCATTTATCTAGGCTGGAAACCCAAAAGTCTACCCAAATTCCTTCTTCTCTCTTACAGCCAACGTCCAATTAGCTGTCAAACCTAGTTCCTGAAAGTCCTCAAATTTGGCCTCATCTCTCCATTCTCCTGCCTACAATCCTGCAACAGCCTCCTGACTTCTGACCTGTTCCTCTTCTGATTCATTCTCCACCCCTCAGCCAGTAATTTTCTGAGCAAAGCATATTATGTCCCTCCTCTGCATCCAGGGGCCCACTTTCTTCAGGAGGTAGCCCAGACTCAGCTGAACACACACCAGCCTCCTGCTTACCTCTAGTCCAGCCCTGTCCAATAGGAACAGAATACAAGCCACATACATAATTTTAATTTTTTGAGTAGCCACATTTTTTTAAGAAGTAAAATAAACAGGTAAAATTAATTTTAATAATATACTTTATTTAACCTAACATACTAAATATTATAACTTAATATAATATTTAAAATATTAATGAGATAGTTTACATTTTTTTCATACTAAGCCTTTGAAATCCAGTGTGTTATACTTACAGCATATCTCATCAATTCGGACTAGCCCAGCTTTAAGAGCTCAGTAGTCACATGTTGCTAGTGGCCACCATATTGGACAGCACAGTTACAGTCTCCTAACACTCTCTTATTTCCCTGGACTTTACACATGCCTAGAAGACTCCCTACCCTTTATTCAGTCAGCCAACCCTTGCTTGCCTTTCAGGAAGCCTTCCCTAACTCTGGGCTGTTGAGCTGCCTACTCTCTACAGTACTACATCCCTCGGCACTTATCCATATCATTACACATAATATGATAACTATTAGTTTTACTTGTCTGTTTTCCCCACTGAGGAGGATTTCCTGTAGAGCTGACGAAGCTTAAACTCTAGGACCCATCTTTCCCCTACATAAACCCTTGCCAAGGCCTCATACTTAATTTTGTAGCTATGGTTTTATATTCTTTTTCTTAGCGTGTCAGCCTCCACAAAACATGGATCAACTCACACTCCTCTTCTAGACTGAGCTCCTTGAGGTCTAGGACTGTGTCTTACTTCTCACTGTATACCCAGGCCCTCAAGGGGACTCAATAAATGTTTGTCAAATAAATGAAAGTTGAAGTTCTTGAGGGCTTAATCCTAAACTATCTGTTTCTCTCTTTCAGAGTAGCATCAACCAGTCTTTGAGCTTAATTACCATACATTTGTTGGTGATTCACATCTTTCTACTTCTAGCCTAGACTTTGTTCTTAAGCTTTAGGCCCATTTGTGCAACTTCCTCTTAGACATATCCACTTGGAGGTGACATAGGCACCCAAACTCACCATTTCAGAGTAGGAACTCTTGAGTTTCCCTAAACCTGTTCTTCCTCTTGTCTTCCCTCTCTCACTAGATGGCACCATCATCCATCCTGATGCTCAAGCCAAAAACCTTGACTTCTGCTCTCTCATCATCCACATCCACTTCATCATAAAGTTCGGATGATTCTGTATTCAAAACATCTCTCAAATCCCTCGAATAGATATTTGTTATGGATGCTCACAACAGCCTCCTAACTGGACTTCCTGCTTCCATCTTTATACATCTACAATTCATTCTCTACACAGCAGTTAGGAAGTGACTTTTTAAATATCTTCATTACAACATTCCCTATTGAGCGTCAAGTAAAATCCAAACTCCAGATCTGATTCACAGGGCCCTGCATGAAGCAGCTTCCGCCTTCCTCTCCAGCATTATCCTGTACCACTCTCCCCTTACTCACTAATCACACTGACCTTCAGTTCTTTCCTCTAATGCATCAAGCTCTTTCCCCACTCTGAACCTTTGCAAACACTGTTTCTTCTTCTGGACTTCTTTCCCATGGAACATGGGGTATTTCCCTTATTCTGTAGATCTTTACTTGGATTTCTCCTCCTCCAAGAGGCACCCTCTTGCTCTCCCTCACTAAAGGGGGCCTGTTACCTACAGGCACTCCCCACTACATGCACTGCTTGTTTCCTTCACGGCACTTGTCCCACTCTGAAATTATCTTCTTAATTTGTTATTCTCATTTATAATCCACATGCCTGCTCCCCCATACTAAAAAATTTTCTATTGGATTTATGATTCCAATTTATACAGGTGGCAGAGCATCTAGAAATTATGCTGTTCTTTGTAGAATACCATGAATATCTAATTTTACATTTAATCCCATCATATACACTAGGAGAAAATATACTGTGTTGCTTGAATGCATGTAAAATCAACTACAAAAATACACACACTCATGAAAAAAACAATATACTGATCCAGGCATGATCAGATGTTTGAGTTTTTCTGTTAATATTTGTTTGTTTCTTATGCATTCACTTTGTCATCTGTCTGCTAGCATCCACTAGCAGGGGAATGCTAAAAGCTTAAGAAAATGTTATGAGGAAAGAAAGTCTTTAAATTGAGAATTTTATTCTTACCATCTTTTCCTGACAAGTGGGGGGAAGCTGACTATAATTCAAGGAGTTAAAGGAGGGAACCCCTCAGGCCAGGCTAGGATGGGCTCTTTGAGAGTACAGTAGATTTCCTGCAGCCTAGCATGGGCCAGGCCCACAGAGGCATGAGGAAACCGGTGGCTGCTTCCTGTCCATACCCACCCTGTCTCCACAGCAGGCAGATGGCAGTACAGGCCACTGATGGAAGCCCTTGGGGTAAATGTCAACCTTGACAAGAAACCTAAGGAGGCACCAGGTTTGTCTGCTTGGGATTCCTGTTGGTTAGTATAATAAATGATCCTGCCCGAAAGAAAACAGCCTCCTATGCATTTAGAAAAAAATAACAGTCTTTCCTCCAGTGTTTCACATTCTGAAGTATATTGGGGGCAGAATGTGGGGATGGGGTTTTCCAAGGGGCCCGGACCAGACTCATTCCCCACCTTGCATCCCTTCTCATCACTGGCATCCCACGGGCTGTCTTGCCAATCAGCATCTCATGAAAAAGACTGATCCTTCCTAACTAAGCTCATAACTCTCTCTTTGAAGAAGGGCCCATCATCCTTCAAATACAGATAAGACTTTTCAGCCAGGCTAGCACCTCAATATTGCTGTTAGTTGCCTTTCTGTGAGTATGCATGGTCAAAGCAGGTCAGAAAGGTATTTTTCACCAGAACAAATGCATTGAGAGCTTCAAAATCAGGTATAAAGTTTCAAAGCAAACTAAGATTGTTGATAAACTATACAAACATTTACCATCTCCATATTGGGGTAATTCCTCAAAGCAATTTGTCAGTTTGACAATGTTATCTAAAATATTTTAGGATTTGATTTTTTTTAACCTGTGTCGAAAGACCCTAAAATAGTTATTATGTCTAAAATAGTATATATGTCTGATGCTATGTCATTTATTTTTTCTGGAAATACTCTTAAGTAAATTCTGATTAGAATCATTCCCCAAAAAACTTTTATCCTGGTTCTAGATTATCAGAGCAGAATGAAGAGTAAAGTGAAAGGTCCTCCAGCTCAGAAACTCCACAGATATCAGTAGGGTGCATATTCAGTAAGAAAATGAATTGTTTTCTGCTGATCTTACAGTCTCCAAGTTGTTCAGGTAGGAGAACATCTGTGAGTATATTGCTCTTAGTAAAACACCACATGGCCATTCACATTTGTTTACATATTGTCTGTGGCTGCTTTCACATGAGGACAGAGTTAAGTAGTTGTGACAGAATCTATGGTCTGCAAAGGCTAAAGTATTTACTATCTAACCTTTCACAGTAAACGTCTGCCAATCTCTACACTAGTTCATCCCATTTACTTTACAGATGAGCAATCTCAGGCCTGGATGAAAAGCAAAGTGATTTTGTAGCACTTTGCAGTGTTCCCGGTATTATAGTTCCTCTTCTCCATGCCTGTCTCTTTTACGGGAAGGGACATAGTCTTTTTATTTCTCACATTGATTTTCATTCATGTGCTTAATAATAAAGGTTTGTTGAATTGTATTGACTTACCCAGGGTAACAGAGGTAGTCGGCAATGGAGCCTGGGTTAAAACTCAGATATATAGATATATAAACCAGATTCATGAGCTGTCAAACTTTGGCTGAGTTGACTATCATCTCTGAGCCTCTAAAATGAAGATAACAATCTATTCCTTGTATGGTTTTTATGAGAAGTTGTTGAGATAATGTAAATATGGAATAGGCCCTCCATAAGTATGGATTCCCTCCCCCACTCCTTTCTCTCTTGAAACTGTTAGGGTTCCCTGAGGAAATTGAATCAAATAGTTATGGAGCTTCTGCTAGGGATGAGACCCTGGGTTCAGTCCTTTGGGAGCTACAAAGACTGTTCCCCCATTTAGTGGAAATGATGAGCCTCCCCTTCTGTACCTCACCCTAGGCTAGCAACAGAGGAAGAGGATGTCTTTCCTGTTCCTATTTCTCTCCAAGAGGAGTAGATCCCATGGCCCTCAACTTCTCTTTCTGCTACTTAGACTTCCTGAGCAGCTGGGGCTCTGACCTCACCTCCCCAGATATCTTTCTTGGCTCCCTACCACCGTGTCTGGCCTTGTCTCACTTCTCTCTGAATTCTTCACCTTTGGGGTGTGGCTATTTAAATAAGCCCAGTTTCCCTCATGTCCACCCCACCCCCCTGCCTTCCTGAAGTGATATTCAAAGAATAGACCTATTAGACAGAGAGAGATATGAACCAATAAGTCAGTAAAAGTGAGTGAGGGAACAATGTATATGTGTTTATAATTAAAGTAAAATAATTTACAGGGGTGAGTACACATCCTTGCATAAACCACCGGAAGGAATACCAACATAGTTTACCAGATCAAAGACTGGATTTTTAGAGAAACGCTTCATGAATTCAAAACAGAATGGCTTACTGCCCTCAGTCTATCAGCACAGTGCAAGATAACTGATCTCCCTCTAACCAGATCACAGATCTTGGACAGCCAAACAAAGACATAAAGACATAAAGCGAAGATGAAACTAACATAATATAAGATTGAATGTCAACTCTAATTGAAAAATATTTTTTAAAAGAATGAAATAGAAAATGATTCATATTTCAGTTGAAAAGAAAAAAAAAGATTCAGCAAAGGCAATTCTCCCTCTCCTTGGCTATAAAAAACATGGGGTGAAACTCCAAATCTAGATTATTTTTTAAAACAGCTATACTTCTTGAGTTATTTAGACTAGTTTTTAGCAGGCAGGAGTTAGTGCTAGAAAGCCGTAACTATAGGTCTTTAATTTGAAATAGATATAGATTTGCTTTCCAGATATAGATTTGCTAGAAATTCAATCCGCTTTTTAAAAATAATGCTGTTATTCAAAAATCACCCTGGATCTGTTTCAACAAATAGCTAAGGACAGAGGTATAATAAGCACTATTCTCACTGGTTGGCAAAGACCTACTAAGAAAGCCCTTGAAGAATCTCTCAAGTAGGTTACAAATTCTCTTTTGAAATCATGATTACGCTTCACTTACTTGGCAAGCTTTGCTTTGATGATCTGGCTCTGACAAAATGGAAAATTCAGAATTTATAGAGTTTAAATAAAATAGAATTACTGTGAAGGACTGGGAAGCAAGTCAGGCATTTTGAAAATGGCTGACCTGATGTCTACCAGGCAGTAGATGCTTTTCTCAAAGGAAAGTACCAGTCTTCATGGCCACCATCAGCAAGGCCGGCCCTGAGAATTTCATTAGGAAGAAGACCCCTATTTCTTCATAATAAGTGATGTAACATTCCGAGCTTTCCTTTCTTTTTTAAGCCTCTGACTTCATGAAGCAGTAGTCTGGTGGGAAATAGTGCTAAATGGGGGGTTAGCATACTGGATTCCAATTCTGATATCTGCTGCCTATATGATCTTGGGCAGCACATTTCTCCTTTGGGGGCAATCTGCAAATAAGGTAATTAGAGCTCTGTTGGCCAGATCAGACAAATAATCACTGTTCTGGGCCTGCCAGAACTGAACTCTCTTGGACACAGGACATTACCAATGAATGTGAGAGCTAGACAGGACCTTTTGGTGATTAGCTGGACTTTGTCATTTCCTCAGAAAAGAAAAGAGACCTGTCCAAAGTCACACAGTTATTCAAAGGCAAAATCAGATTAGAACCCAAGTTTCCTGACTCTCTGTTCCATGCTCCGGCCAGAACACCACATTATCTCAAAAATCCTAAAGGATATATATTTCTTCTCCTTTGCATCATATATCTCCTAGATATATCCACTCAGTTTGTTCTTCATCCTGCCCATTCATCAAAACTGCTCTGGATTAGGTAGCTAAGTCCTTCCACTCTTTGCATGAGAAATTCTGCTCACACCAGTGGCTTCTCTGAGACCGTGACAGGCAGGCTATAAGCCAACCTTTCCCCAAACTCAAACTTTAGAAGAAGGAGAGAATTGGGGTCTGTGATCTGTAAGGTGTCCTCACTTTGGAATCTCAAGGAACAAATAACTTTGAGATGAATTTTTAGAGATCACTTAACCAAATTAATCTTCCAGGTTATGGAATCATCAATGAATTTAGTTGAAAGGTCCTTTGTGGAGACATAATGTCTTGGAAAGGAATTTTGGGACCAAGAGAAAGCCCCAGGGTTAGAGCTCTCAGTATTTGGTCTCCAGTCAGCACAGAGAGAGGGCTCTGCACCCATGGCTGGCTTCTCGAGATGAGTAGAGCTCCTATCTTCTCCAATATTTTAAAATAAAAAACAAAACCAAAGAAAACCTCTCCCCGCTTCCCAAGACCCCCTCCAAGCCACCAGACCCTCCAAGTCTGAAATGTGAACAAATAAGGTTAAACAAAAGTGAAGGTGCTGAATAAACCCTAAACACCATGGAAAATTATCATTTTTCCATGCCTGGTATTTTTTTGGACATTTTCTAAATCCCAGCTCAAATGTCATTTCCAAAGACCCAGTCAGACCACCCTTTGTTCAAACTCTGGCTCCACTGCCTCTTTGCTGCGTGACATTGAACAAGTAGTTTAATATAATTAGGCCTCAGTTTCTTCCTCTGCCAGTGGGAGATCATAATAACCATTTTATAGGGTGATTGGGGGATGAGCCAAGGTCACTCTTGCAAACGCTCCAGCATAGTGCCTGGCAAAAAAAATTGGACTCTAAATGTTGAATGAAGAGCAAAGGAACCAGAACATCCATCTCTTGAGGTCTGACCCAGCACTTTCCACTCTTCAACTCCTGGCTTACCCCCACCCTTTTGCCCCCAAATGTCTAGAGAAGCCTGAGCTAGCCTGTTCTTACCTTGTTGAGGTCCCCTACGGCCATGACCTTGGCCGCTGGCCACTTGCTGAGCTGCTCTTTCACCCAGAGCTCGAGCTTCTTGTTCCACTTCATGGTGAACACATAGAAGGCATAGGCCAGCAGCAGCAGCAGGCTTTCCCACCAGACAATGAGGCTGTCCAGGAAGAAGAGAATGAGCATCATCAGGTCAAGGATGTAGAAGGAGACATCACGGAACAAGGGCCACCAGGTAAGGTTGAGGATCTCTCTGGAGAAGAGGGCACAGGTGCCGATGACAAAGAGGATGTTGAACACAGCAGAGCCCACAATGGTGCCGATGCCCACATTGCTGTGGGAGATGAAGACGCCAATGAGGGAGGTGAACAGCTCAGGGGCAGAACCTCCAGCAGCCATGAACGTGGCGCCTGCCACATCCTCAGAGATCTGCAGCTTGTCCGTGATGACACCCAGGGCTGGGACGAAGTACTCATCACACACAATGGCCAAGGCCACAAACACATACATCATGCCAAAGATGTGCAGGAGTACCCAGCCCTGTTGCCGCTGCTCCACACTGAACAGGTCTGGGGGGTACTCTGCCTTGGAGTGGTGGTCTGGTCGGCTGGGGGGCAGTGCTGAGAAACTGGGACTGGGCACCTCTGGGAGCAGGGCCGTTGTCAGGCTGGAGGAGGGGGCAGTAGGCATGGCTGGGGCTGGCTCCACAACAATACAGTGACGGACCTGAGTGGTCGGATTTTCCCTGATGCTGGGGGTTGCTGAAGTGCTGGGTCCTGTGGATGGTTTCTTTGCCAGCCCCCGGAGTGTGGCCAAGGATATTCCAGTGGTTGGTGTACTGGTTCTGGATGAGGGATTCCTAACCCTCCAAGCAGCAGTAGAAGCTTTGGTTTCTGCTGGGCTGCTGCCTGACAAGGTGCTAGTTGTCACCTGCCCCTCAGAGATGGCTGTGGTGTGCTCCAGGACCTTTTCCTGGGAAGTTGTGAAGTTGTTCTTTCCCATTAATCCCTGAGGGTTGGTTGAGCTGTTATCATCCACTCTTCTGGGGGTAGTCAGGGTGTTCTTTTCCACCATACTTTGAGAAGTTAAGATGTTTGTTTCTATATCATTTATCAGGAAAGGTGGGGTGTTATCAATTTCTTTGAGAGTAGTTGGAGTGGTTTCTTCCACTATTCCCTTGGAGGGGTTGGTCTCCAATGTTTTGTAAGTCGCCATAGTTTCACTCTCTTTCACTGTTGTTCTAGGGATGATCCCATGGCTCCTTGTCAGTGTCATGAGTGTGGATGAGGCATAATCGTTTACTATTCTACCAGGTAAGGATGGAGTGTATTTCTTCACCTTGCCTCTGGCTTGAGTTGGGTGGTAGCTCTTCATTTCTCCCCTGGATGTTACTGGGGTATAATTCTTTACTGTTGATCTGCTTAAAGTTGGGGTGTAGTGATTCTGTCTTCCACTGGGTGTGGTTGGGGTGTTTTCCTTCATTCTTTCTGTGCCTGCTGCTGTTGGGCTGTAGTTATTCTCAGGTATTGTTGGAGAGATGTCGGCTGTTGTTCTGGGCGTATTGGGGATGTTTTCCATTGTTATGCCAGATGTTGCTTCATTCCTGTCCACTGTGGCTTGGGGCACCTGTGTCTCACCTTCTATTTCAGAGCTAGCTTTTGGAGGGTCACTGCTCACGGTCATCATCTCATTGTTGAGGAGGTCCCGGCTGGCAAGTTTCACAGGGTGTTCAGAAGAGACCGCTGCCCACAGTGTTGGGAGGCCCTGGGGGCTCCTCAGGTGCTGATAGGTGGAACCAATGATCAATATTCCCAACAGGAAGAGGAAGCGACTACAACGAAGCCGTTTTGGCCGAAGTAACCGCCTTTCCTGCACTCCCATCCTGATCAATTTCCCCATGATGGCCAGTTATGCTGGATTACAGAAGGCCTCTCATTCTGTCCATTGGAAGAAGGGGGCTGTGGGATGCAGGTTGGTGATCAGGGAAGATTTCTCCATGAAGCCCAACCAAGAGATATCCACAAACCTAGAGCGGGGAAAAAGAAGTTATTTGCCCTTAAGAGGCAAGCTGGGACCCACCAAATCCTCATTTGGAACAGTGACAATTCATGCAGGGGACTTTGGGTGGAAGCAGTTGGAGCAAAATTATCTCTGCCCCCTGCTCCAAGGGGCAATGACTGTTCATGGGAGAAAGAGCATCTGGGGGTCCTCTGTGCTGTGTAGGCCTGCCAGAAACTTAGGTTCTTGATCTGGGTCTACCCAGCCCTCCCTGGCCTCCCTGGAAGAGGTCTGCAAGCACTTCTCAGGTCCAAGCCTGAGCTGCTGGGAGCTCAGTCACCCATAGTTGGTGACCCAGGCCATAGATTTCACCTTATCAAAGGCAGAAGGGAGGTAAGAAGATATGGTTTTAAGCTTTATACAAAAAGAGGCAGCAGTGGAAGACAGGCAGAGATATCAATGCTCGACGTGTTTTTTTTTTCAACTGACTTAAAATGATTCTACCATATCATGAAAGAGAACAAAGCTTAAAAGTTAATGTCATGAAGTTTCCTAAACTGTGTAGTATGGTGGGAGGAACATGGTGAATGGAGTCAAGGGTCTGGATTCCCAGCTCTGCTGCTTACCAGCTGTGTCACCTTGGACAGGCAGAGCCTCAGTACATCATCTGTGAAATGGGCACGATAACATATATGTTGATTATGCAAAGATAATCTCGGGAAGGACATCTGGAAAAGGGAATCTAAAGGCCAGGGGTCAAAAGGAGACTTACTTTTCAGTATATCTTATTGTTCAGTTTTAACCATTTAACCTTTTTATTATATACATGTTATATTTTAAATTTAAATTTATTTTAATTCAATTTAATAGAAAAAAACAATAGTAATAACAATAGTAATAACCTAGCATGTAAAAAGTAACAACAATACCTATGTCACAGGAATTTGGGACAGTAAAAACACATAAAGTCGGTGAAGTGCATTGTACAGAATCAAGTGCTACATAAGGGTTATTTTACATAAAGACACAGGAGGAAAGAACATGAAAGGCCCTCAAAGAATCCTTGATTTATAAAGAAAGGTATAGAGGCCCAACCCAAGTAAATATTAAATTACAAAACAACTGGAAATTTTGCATATGAAATAATCTATTCGAAGTGAGATGAGTAACCTATAGAATCTTAGGTTGTTAAGGTAAAAGGAGTTACCGACACTGTTTAGTGGAACTTCTCAGTTGAAACATGAAGAAACTGTGCTTGCTTTGGCAGCACATATACTGAAACATGAAGAAACTGAGGTTCAGAGAAATATGACTTGCTCAGTGTCATAAAGCTAGTGAATAGTGTACAGATGAGGCTTTTAATGCTCCAATCTTTCCAGCATACCATGCTAACTAGAGATCCAAATGCAATCGTCTTAAACAGCAAAAGAGGGACAAGCAAAAGAACTACACAATAAGTGAATTTCCTTCTTTGTCCTCAATTCCTATAATTGTCTTTCCACCATCCCTTTGTCCACCCTGTCCCTTGCCATAAACTCAACACTTCAAATCTCCTACATATACTTTGGAGGGTCTTTCTCTCTGGTGTCCCTGTGTTATGTAACAGAGCCGAGCTGGCACCCCAGTTGATCTCCCCTACCTAATCACATCATTTACCTTCAAACCTGGACATCTGGATATCTTCTCAGTTCTGGAAACTTGTCAGAATCCAGGGTCTCAAAGAGTGGATCTGAAGCTAGACAGCAGGGAACACCACCCCATTCTCCTGCCCCCAGCTCTCCTATGGGATCCTAATTCAAGGCAGGGTCGGGTGTGAAGGGCATCTCAGGGGAAGAATATCCAATCCTTGCTAATACCCGCCTCTAAGAAGCTTATCGGGTGGGGCATTGTACAAACTCTGGGTCCCAGGGCCTCTGCCAGAGCCTGAGAGGGTGGGCCTTCCACCAGGTACACAGATGTGTTCTCTGCGGGCCCCTGTAATCAAGGCGGAAACTTGGAGGAACTTCTCAAACTTGCTTCTAAGCTCTGGGAATGAGAGGTGGTCCAGAGTTTCCATGCTTATGGGAAGCAAAGATTCCAAATTCACTCTGTGGGAAGCAAGGGAAAGTATCTGGGGATTAAGAGATCAGAAGACCTCAATTAGCTCTAGGATCCATTTGCTACTGTGTGATTCTAAATGAAGATAATAATACCCATCCTAACCATTTGTTGGGCAGATGTGAGAATCAATATTTAAATGAGGGAATATCTGCTCAATTTTGCTTTGAACCTAAAACTGCTCTAAAAAATCGTCTATTTTTTAAAAATGAGGGAAAGTAAAGAAAATACCTCACAAATTTTAAAGCATTTCATATATGCAAAACATTTTCTTAGGCCTAAGGGAAATCGCTAGGGAAGAGCACACTGACAGATCTCTCCAGCACAGGCTGGGACATCCCAAGGTACCCTAGGAGTTGAGCCTCCAGCTCAGGACTGGAGCTGAATGAAGTGGGGGTTGAAGTTAAGCAATGGGGGTCTCATGATCCCACCTAAAGACCTGGAAGCCATTTCAATCGTTCATCTGACTATGCCTGATGATTACTGATTGCTCCTTTCTCCTCTCCCATTTCCCACGAAGTACATGGATAACATGCTGCTTTGATTTCTTTCACCTGAAATAGCAGGTTACCCCTCACAGCCTTCCTTCTGCCCTACTTGAGTGGCCTGTAACAGTAAGAAGGTATCCAGACCCCTTTACTGAAGCACACAGAGTTGCCTACCCGCTGCGGAAGAGCTGTCTTCATCTCTGGGTGTCCTGGGGTTACTCTGGATATTGGAAGCCTGTGTTGAGGGGCTGACCTCTGCTGTTACCACATCCTTGCCTTTAGACTCTTGCAGGCAGAACCAGATCTAGTCACTTCCCTTCTCACATACCAACCGTCTAACACAATCTCAATCTTGTTCAGAAAGATGGAAAAAAGAACCCAATTCACAAGGTGGAATGATAAGTGATATATTTTTTTTCTAGAATAATTCCCCTATTTTTACAATGTTATTTATGCAAAATAGAAAATTCGAGGGAGAAGCAAATTCCCAGAAAAGGGACTTCTTTCTTTCATGCACTCATAACTATTGCCAAGGAATTCTTTCTAGTGTCTAACCCAAATCTCACCTGCTGGTGGTAAACCCAGTTCCTTTTGTCTTGTTCTCATGGAGTTGTGGCACATTTGAAATTCAACAGGCCATAGAAAAGTTTGCTGCTGAATTATTTAACTTCTCAGTGGCTGTAAACCTCTAAACCCATAAAATGAAAATGATGACACTACTTGCTTGGTAGTCTTCTTGTGAGGATTAATTAAATTAATATTTTTGTTATTATTATTTTTATTATTGTTTTTGATTATAGTCAGACTGTGTTAGGGGGCAGCAGGTCCCCTTGTGTTCCATTGTGACAACGCTCTACTGTGTATTTACTAACGTGATCACCTGGTTAATGTCTGCATCCCTTACTAGCAGGTGAGCTCCAAGAAGACAGAAACTTTGCCTGCCTTATTCTTGGCTGAATTCCCATAGCCCAGAACAGTGTTTAGTACCCAATAAGTATATTTGTTGATGGACTGAAAAAGTACATCCTAGTGAGGAGCTGCTCAGAGATGGGGCACCTGAGCTACACATGGGGATTGGAGGGATGCCCACTCACAGAGGCTCATGGTGTTTCAGAGAGCAAACTGCTGGAAGAAGACTAGCACCACCAAGGAGGGGAAGCTGATCTGCTTTGTTCTACAAAGTTGCCTCATTTTATACTCTCCCTGGAACAGGGTGGCAGGACAGGGGAGGCAGACCTGGCACTCACCCTCACAATGATATTGAGAGCTGAGGAAGGCAAGTCTTAGAGCAGGGATGCCTTTCCTACAGTTCTATTAAAATAGGAAGAAGAGAGAATGAGACTTTTCACCTGATGTGGAGGGTTTGTGGCTGAGGCTGGTTTATTTCTGGGCCTACATCAAGAGTTGATATTGATCTTACACAGTGGAAAGTGGACCAGATTTGGCAGACTTTTGGTTGCAAACTCAAATGCCTTCAGGGCGTGAGTGGATAAAATTAAGTTAAATCAACTCTATTAAAGTCAGTTGAGAGTAATGAGAGCCGTGTTTGGACAGAGAATGAATACCCCATCAGTAGGCATTCCAATGTAAAACAATTTAAAAATATTAAAGGGCAAACAAAATGGGTCTAGGGGCTGAATTTGACCTACTGGTACTACTTTGCAACCTCTAATAAAGTAATAAGATTGATGGAGAGCAAGTCTTCTAAGCTGTTATCCTCAGGTTTCCCATTTATAAAAGCAGAAGAGACGAGCTTCCTTGTGGGATTGCTGTAAGAGGTACAGTGAGAACCCGTGGAAAAGCACTCAGATCTGTCTGATGCTGAACTGTGTCACAGCCCAAGGCCTTATGCTTATATTGTTTTAATTGTTTATATTACATTGTTTATAGGATAAAAAATGGCTATACAGTTTTCCAATAATAAAATATTTTAAAAAGAGAGAAGGGTCATATCTATGGTTTTTTTGGACTTTCTCTTTGCTGAAAATAATGGAATGCGATTTGGGAATGGGGGAAAAGGGATAGCCTGGAGCTTGGAAGTATGATTTGGAAGTAGACAAGGTCCAGACTAGAGAAAGCAGGAAGAAAGTCACATGGCAAAGGACAGCACAGGAGAGTAAAATGGAGAGAACAGAAAAGTAATGTGGGCTTACCAGTTTCCCCATCCTCTCTCTTCCCCTTTTCCTCACTCACTCCTTACACTTCATCTCTGAATATGAAAAATCATCTTGGGACCTAACAGTGAAGATCCCAGGCACCAATCCATGAAATTCCAATTCAGTCAGCATGGCCTGGGAGTCTACATGTTCAACATGTGCCCTAGGAGAACTGAATATATGAACCTCCCTTGAGCGCAGTACCTGGCCCCTGTGAATAGCTTGGTATTTCTGTCACCAACCTTTACTCTGCCAGAATGGAGACCAAACCACTCTGCCTTTCAAAGTCTCTGTGACAGTGACCCACTGTTACAAATTAGGGGAAAAAATAAAGGGGATGATAGATTATGCAAAGAATTGTTTATTGTATCTGGAAACATGCAGATGCTGAGGGTCTCTTGAATGAGAAAAAGAAATTAATTAGCCAGCTATGGATTGAAAGACATTTCCTTTAAGACTTTCTAACTCTCTGTGCTGATGTTCTCTGATTTTATATTCACTCAACAACCTTCTGATTTTTAATGGAATTCTATTAAGAATTAAAAAAACAAAAACAAAAGCACTCAACAGTTGCCCTAAGTGATGCAGCCTTCTTGGAAGTCCTACCTTTTATTGTCAACTTTAATAAATTGCCTGTTTACTTCCCTAATCTGAAAGCCTGTATCCAAAAGAACTAGGTCATGAAGATCTTATCACCCAACAACAAACTAATAAATTGAGGCTTTAGGACTAACGAATCAGTCCATAGAACTGAATTGGAACTACCAGGAGAACAGCGACTGTTACTCAACAAAAGCTGAGTCATTATCACATTAGGGGTAGGTAGACAACTCCCTTGACCACATGTTCTTGGCCACATCCCTCCCATTGGGGAAAAATTAGAAATTATAACCAAGTATTCAGGCTATAGCCTTATTTACCTAGATACCAGTGCCTGCTCAAACATAACAGGGTCTTGAGATGGTGAGGCCAGCCAAGTTGGGGAAAGAAATTCTGAAGCAAATAGTCTGTAGGCCTTTAGGCCCTAATGTAGGCAGCAACATTCCCAGAAACTGATTTGTCTTCCTCTGCCATTTCGGACATAGGAGGAGACAAGAAAGAACTACAAGCAACTGAAGCCCCGACTCTCCCACAGAACAAGCTGTAAAAAGTCAAACTATTGTTCAATTCAAAGCATTCTCCCTCCTTGGACCACCCTCTACCTCACCTCATCCTACCAACTAAAAGAAAAAGAGGCAAAGGCCTATGGCCTTCTAGAAGCCTTTCTGACCCCACCTGTAACTTCTGTGGTACAACATGGTTTTTTGAACCACAACCACCCAGGGCCTGCTGGCATTCATTCAGGCCTACCTCTCTAACTGGCATTTCATGGCTCCCTAAATGGTTACAAAGTCACTTCTTGCCCCCTCAAGCCCCTCACTGAAGCAGTCTGCTATGGGGACACCAGGTGGCCAAAAGTTGAGGTAGGTGAGGGCTCATGATGCCTCACAGAAAAATCTGAGTGCAAATTCCTCAGCAACGTACCTAGGCCAGGGTAGGGGGAACTGACTGAACATTCTCTCTGCTTCCTCCAAAGAAGGGGTTGGGCTTTAAAGTGAGTAACGTGCTGAGGAGACCAAGAAGAAAAGTCTTGACGTGTAAACTGGCTCAGGTCAATTAAGAAAAACACCGTGCTTAGTATGAACATCCCTAATGCAGGAATTCTAGTTGAAGAGAATTCTGTCAGCTGGTTCCGAGGATATGAGCGAGGAGTCGGGTGAGTGACGGGGAAGAGGGGCAAATATCAGAGAGAGTTAGGCTGTTGGCACCCACAGGCCCAGGTGAGTAGGAGACAAACGTGTGAAGGGGTCACAGAGTTACGGAGGGAGGTGGACAAGAGGCCAAAGGTAAATGGGGGAAGAGCCCGAGAATGGAGACGGAGGAAGGGAAGGGGCGGACACAGCCCGGGCTCAGTGAAATCGGAGACGTGTGGGTGGAAAGGGGTCGTTACGAATACACTACTGTAGACAGTTACTGAGAAGGGCGCACCCCTTAGCGTCCCCGCGGAGCCAGAGCCCAACCCCAATGCAGTCCTTAAAGCCCCGCCTCAGCCCCGCGCGCAGTCCCGGCGCCGGGTTCCCTTTGTCGCGCGGCCCTATAGTTCCGGTCGTGGTGCGCGAGCGGAAAGTTTATGCGGTCGGACTGTGCCGGCGATGGGCGCGGGGTGAGTAGGGGCGGCCAGGGGCCTCAGGTTGTCTTTCGTTGCTTGTTAGACCTGCAGGAATAGGAGTCAGGGGTGGGAAACGAGGCGAGGCCAGCGCCAGGTTTTTCCGCCATCCCGGTGGCCGCTCCGCACGGTCTCTGAGCCGCCAGTTCCGGGGCCCAGCTCCCGGCCTCCCGCTCTCTGGAGCTTGGGGGTCGCGAGTTCCGCGTAAAAACCATGATTTCGCCCCCTGCTCAGGCCCTCTGCGCCCCCTCCTCCCATAAGAGACTTCCAGATCTCTCTCTTTCTCATTTGTCTTTTTGCTGATTTCAAGGTGAAAATACACCTCCAGTTTCGATCCAAACGGAGAAATTTTGTATTTCTAGGCTGGCGGTTTAAAGATGAAGTTCTGAGAACTCCGGAGGGACTCATCAGGGCAAGGGAAGTCAGGCTGACTGGGAGATCTCAGGGTTGATGAGGACCCTAACATGAATGGGCGGGCCCTTAGAAATTCGAATGGAATCATGCTTTGAGAGTGAAACTGCTGAGAATCAGTGCTTTATGAATGAGGTGATTGTCACCTTCAGGGAATTATAAATGTGTACTGATGGAGACTTGGCATTAAGGCCAGATCAAGCGGCTAGATAGGCTTTATTCCCAGGAGTAGACTCATTGAAAAGACCCCCTAGTTGTCTTAAGCAATGCATGGAAACGGTACTTATGGGAAAGGTGTGAAGATGGCGTGGAAGACTTGCAGGTGAGAATCAGCCCAAGTGAGAAACATAGCCTGCCCTCACAAAATTGCTGGACTGTGGTGGATAGGAATTTCCTTCTATCAGGCCTAGACTGCTTGAGTGAACCATTCTTCGAGAACATTCAGTTCCCTTTTTTACTTCTGTGCTTACAACCTGAGTACTGAATTGGTTTCCCATGCCTTTGCCATTGTTAAAGAGGTTTGTTTACTGATGGATACAAATGCATCAGTCAGGAGAAAGAGCCAGTTCTAGAGCTGTCTGCAGAGAAGTCAAGACTGTTAGCTATGGTCAACCATTCCAGTGTTACAGCAGATTTTATGGGCCAAAAGTGGTTTCTTATACCTGATCTAAATCTGTTTTGTTTCTAAGTGAAGGTAGTACTACTCCTTGTGATCCCCAACTTTCAATAACATAAAGGCCTCTATGTATGAATGAGACTACCATAGGAGCTGGATAAACTCTACATGGACAGAGGCATAGGAGTCCCCGGTCTCTCTGCTTGAATGGAAAGGAGAGGAGGAAATGTGTTTCTGATGTCCAGAGTTAAAATTCATCATATATTTTGCCAAAGAATTAATGTTATATCTGGTGATTAGGGGTAGTTCATTAGTCATCATCAAACATTCGTCAGGCACTTACTATGTACCATTTACTGTGATGGGTAGGCTCTGAGGAGACATTGGTGGGCAAAATCTGACATGGCCTGTGCCCTTAGTGAGCATTTGGTCTAATGTAACCAATATTGGACAAGACCTCACTTGAACAACACAGCTGTCCCAGAAAGTAAATAAATTTTTTTTAAAAACAGTAGATAAAATAGTACCAAGCTGATACACCTAAGCTCATGCATTTGACACTAAAACCCACAGGCTCTCAGAGCCTGTTTGACTGGACAGTTTTAATGAGCTTTATCCGGCTTTCTAGCTCATAGTAGCCAAGAAGCAGCAAATTAGAAAGGAGAGTAATTGCATAGGATTACTGAGAAAAGTGGAATACAAGCTGATGGTCTAAAAATTAATTATAAAGAGGAGGCACCAAAACACAGCACAATAGGCTGGATCCCTTGAATACAAGGCATTGTTTTCTTGTATGTTATATAACATTCTTGTTTTATGGAACTCTAACAGTCATTATGTAGAAAAGAGTTAAATGGGAAACACAGGGTTGGCAAATTAAACTGGATTCTTTGCTGTAGAACTTCTCAGTTTAATTAATAAGGCCTGAACTCATTTTTCTTGGAGGATGCCTCCAGAACAGTATTCTGCAGCACATGCTTGGGGAAATGCTGGTATAAACATCAGGGTAGCAGTGTGCTGGGCTGTACTGGTGTTTAGGTTGGTGATGCCAAGTCAACGTAAGAGTGTGAGTTATGTTCAGCACACAGTATTTAAGGAGGCACGGAGGAGAGATACACAGTAGTTTTCTATCAAAATGCCTAAACATTTTGGAATTCTAAGAAGTCTGGAGAGTATGTCTCCTGTCTGATCTTTATTAATGTTGGATACATGAAGCATTACTGTACTTGAACTGTATCTTAGATTGTTTTGTGGTAAAAAGGCTTTTCCTACTTGACTGAGTCCCTGGCCCTATTTATAACATTCTTCCATGAACTGATATGTTCTGAGTTCCCAATAGCCTATTTACAAATGGAATTTTAGGATATCACATATTTGTAGTTGGAAACAACTAAAACAAACAATCTGACCACTGTTAAGTGTTTTGAAGTAAGTTCCAAAGAAGAAATTAGTGCACATTAAATTTCTAACCTGTTTATGTCCATTCATAGTCTTCTCTATATAAATACAATATGATTTTTATGAAGTGTATACATACAATCCTGTGATCCCTTTTCCTTTATTAATACTTTATGTAAATATTTCTGATATATACATATGTGTTATTTTCCTTTTATTTATAGCTTTGTGATATTTCATTGTGTCAATAAACTATAATTTGCTTAATAATTGATTAGCAGCAAGCTTTGTCCCCATGAGCAGGTCTGTGTATCTGTGAACTTTTTTTTTTTGAGCACAGAAATGTTTTCTTCATGTTAATTTTCAAGCCATAATTTTAAAGAACTCTTAGTTTTCTCCATTTCTTCTACATTTTGACTTTTATACACAATTTCATGAGGTAATGCCAGCTGTCATACATATTCTTTAATTTTGTTCTTTTCCTTCACAGTTAAAGGCCTGTGGCCTGGTTTACGTTCAGTGAGTACTACTGAGGCTAGCAGTAGTCTGTGGCTTTTGTCAGGCTTAATGACTTCCAGCTTTCTTTAATTTGGATTATGATTTTACTAGCCCTTTCATTTTTATATTTTGCATTCATTTTAATTTAAAAAGAGACAAACACCAAACAACAAGATAATTAAATGCACAAATACTGTTGTATCAACTAAGATAGTGATGATGCCCCAAAAGACTGGTTGATTGTCAAAAAGCACCACCATATAACAACTAGAAATATTCTTTAGTAAGTTAAGTGTTAGAGAGATGACATAGGAATGTTTATTATATTAGGTTGTATAAAATTTGGAACTATGAAACTCAAGGACTAGTTTAATGTTTTCTTAGTAGAAATAACTTAAGGTGGTCCTTGATTTATGGCCATTTATTGGGTGATGCCAGAAGTATTTATAATGAAGTAAGCTGCTTGCTTCCCTCCTCCTGAATTCTCTGCAGGTTTTCCCTCACCTCAATTTAAATGGGGTTTGCCTTCACTTATTTCTGGAATATTTGGTTAAAATTATGGTGAAAAAAATACTTTTTATTCTCCATGACTTGCAAGCCTAACCATATTTATTTTCTACAGCATTTCTCTATTTAGAGCTGTCTGTCTGCATTCTGATTGGGAACATTGGGATCATTTTCATCATGCCAACAGTAGTGGTAATGGATGTGTCCCTTTCCATGACCCGACCTGTGTCTGTCGAGGGGTCTGAGGAATATCAGCGCAAGCACCTCGCAGCCCATGGTTTGACAATGCTGTTTGAGCACATGGCCACAAATTACAAACTTGAGTTTACAGCCCTTGTGGTTTTTTCATCGCTCTGGGAACTGATGGTGCCCTTCACAAGAGATTATAACACCCTACAGGTACAAAAAGGAATGAGTTAGTGTATGTACAGGGCTCAAATTTATAGGGAGGAAAAAGTGTCATATTGTCCTGAATATTTTGATAAGTCTGTGGCCAAAGTATCTAAGCATAGCTATAAAACAAGTATTCACAACCAGCACGTTTTATGCCTTTTGGTAGAGCTATGAGTTAGAACTGGGTTGTTGCCTTTTTGACTCTTGATTTTCTTGAATTCTCTCAGGATATAGTGCCCCATTCCCTACAGTTTAGGATCTTTACGTTCAACACTTAACTTCTTTTGCTATAAAACTTGAGGAGATAAAAAATAGCCTTTTCTTATAAAAACTTATTCTAGAGTAATTCAAAATTCTATTTCCTCTCCAACAAATAGCCTTTGATTTACAGATGCCAAGGAATTACAATTTTTAAAACTCAGTTGATAGATGTTATCTTTCAAAGATGTCATCTGTGATATACCCAAGAATTTACTTTCTGACAACACCTCTAAATCATTAATATTTCCATCAGGGCCTAGCACAGTGCCTTACCCATAGTGAGCAGACTAAGTGTTTTTAGAATTAAATTGAGTAGTTTAATAATTGCTAGGCAGTCGAGGAATTCAGGATCAATGTAGTTTGATTTTTTAAATATAAGTAATAAAATTTTATTAAATCATTCCTTTTATTATCTCATATTTTTAAGTGACTCAAAAGCTTTTTTTTAAAGTTGCACTGCCTTTTTTATAAGTGAGTAAGCTAAGGATTTTGGATGTTCAGCAGTTCTGAAATAGAGAATAGCTGTATAAATACTGCAGAGTAATTGTTAAGACCAGGAGTCCTGGAGTTAGTGACTGGGTTCAGATTTAAACTGTGCCACCTCTAGATATGAGACCTGGGAAAGTGACCTAATCATTCTGTACCTTAGTTTCCTCATTTTAAAAATAGATTAATAATCTATAGGGTGTTGTGATTAAATGTACTGAAAATACCTAGAATGGTGTTTAGGATATAGTTAGTACTCAAATTTGTCATTTTTGTGATGTGTTCAAAAGTTCTTTATTTTAATTATTTCTGTTAAGGTCCACTTCTAAAGATAGAAACTTAGTGTGCTGTTCAGTCTCACCTGATAAGAGGCAGAATGAAGGGAAGCTCTTTTAGTTATGTTTTATAGTTGAGGAAGTCTGTTTTACTGTTTTCCTTTAAGAACTTATGCTTAGGGGCTCTCAGAAACAATTTCCCCTGTGTAACATTCATGCTTTGAATTTTTATGTTGTTTTCTAATCACAAAACAGTAAAGAATAATGAGCAATTTTATCTTTTATTCAATCAGGAAGCACTAAGTAATATGGATGATTATGATAAAACCTGCTTGGAGTCTGCATTAGTTGGCGTTTGCAACATTGTTCAGCAAGAATGGGGTGGTGCAATTCCTTGCCAGGTAATGATCAGTTCTTTTTCATTGCCCTAAGTTAAAAACGTTAACCACTGAGGTGCCTGGACTTTCTTCAAGCTCTGGCACAGCATGCATTGTAATTTCCATAAACTACGTTATATACTATTCGTATCTTTTTCAAATAAGGCAGAAAATCAGCACTAATACGCTCAAAAAGCAACACAATTATGCCTTATGGAAAGCATTCTCCTAGTAAATTGACTTCTTGTAAACTCGTATTGTTTGTATAAAACACAAAGGGCTCATAGTGGAATTTTAGAACATTCCCTGGAAGAGGTGATTATAATTTTTTGAGTGATAGAATTGTAAACATCAGTACAATATAGCCTATCTTCATTATCTCAATGTAGTATTTATTCAGCAGACTTTTAACCATCTCAACTATCTGAGTTATCTAAAAAGTGAGGAGTTACGAATGTCATAAAATCAGTTGCTCTTTACTTAGGATCCACAGTATATCCACATTAGAGCATCAAATCAGAGCAGAGTGGTAGCAGAAAAAGAGAATTGTAAGTTTGCTATACACAGGTACTTTGAGAAGTAGTAGCGTATTTTAAAGGAGAAAAAAGATTGCTAAAAGGAAAATCATAATACTGTAGTCTACAACAGGAATCAGCAAACTTTTTCTGTATTTTAGGCTTTGCCGGTATCTATGGCAACTCCTCAGCTTCAGTGTCATAACATGAAAGCAGCCATAGATAATAAGTAAATAAATGGGCATGGCTGTGTTCTGGTAAAACTTTATTTCAAAAACAGGCAGTGAGCCAAAGAGTATGATTTGTATTACAGGGTCAAAAATAGGATTCCTCAGTAGTGTCAGTGGCATCACTGGTATTTATTTTTTAATTAAAAATAAAATTACGGTTGCCTGGGAGTGAAGGAAGGGTAGGAGTTGACTCAAATGAAGCAGAAGTGGTTACATCATTGAAAGCAGTTGTTGGAAATCATAGAACTATATACTAAAAAAGTGAATTTTATTGTATGTAAATTATCTCAGTAAACTTAAAATTTTTTAAGTTGCTTTTTCTTATTATAAAACTACTCAGTTTTGTATAGTATGAACTTGTGGATAAATGAAGACCCTGAGCTACTACTAAAAGGTTAAATCAAATCACTAGTGGATACTTACTAAAAAAGCTAGTAAATGCCTTTTGATCAATTTCTTTTAAGAAATAAAAATGTTTGGCACCTTACTTTGTAAACATTGTTTATTTGGTAAGTCAGGCATACAAAATATCTAATTTCCTAACAATATACTGAATTAACAAAGTTTTGTTGTCAATATTTACTGAACTGGAAGCTAGTAGGTAGCACAGTAGTTTTAGAGAAGAATCTCAGAAAATATGTGCACCAGAAAGACATCTGCCTTTTCATGTTTTTTATTTCTTTGCAAAAAGGAAGAACCTGAATTTGAGATGTATTGTATCCTGAGGGCAAGGGGCTGAGCCTGAATTCACTGAGACTTGCTTGATGAGTTTTGGGGTGAACAGTCTAAAACACTAGACTAGAAGTGAAAGTTATTAGTGATTGTTTTTATAATTAGTTACTATCATATGGATTTTTTTTAATATAGAATTTTTTTAACCAACTTTTTAGACAGCTGGACTGTCTTCATTATCTGAGTAAAATCTATCTCGTTTTGACATTACATGAAATATTTCATTATCATACAGTATCTGAAGAAGCTAGTGGCAGAAGGAAATTATTATAAAGCAATTATTGGTACCTAGGAGAAATTATCTTGTAGTCAATTGACTATCTTCCCCAAAATTGACATTGCTCCAGGGGACCTCCATTAAGCATTCTTGGGCTTTAGAAGTAAGTGCCAACCTTGGTACTTCACATAAAACAACCTCCTAATACTGCCTTAATGGTCTATTATTATCGCGTTAGTAGGATAGGCTAGGGAGACCAAAAATAATCCTCCCCTGGAATGCTTGCAAAGTCTGTGCCCTCCGACAAGATCACTTTGAAGCAATGAGGAAAAGAAAATGCTTTCTAACTACTGTCTATCGTTGGTAATTTTGAAGGCTTTTTCAAATTGCAGGTTAAGAGTGCATTTTAAAGGTCTTGTATGGTTAAATGGCTTTTATTAACACATTTTTAAAGCAATTGTCATTCTACTTGACCAGGGGTAGAGTTTGTCATCTTTGTCATCAAAGTTCAGACTTCTGTGCTGATACTTCTTAGGAACACATGTAAAATAGGTCCTCGTGCCATTTTTGACATCAGTGCCTTAGGTGCCACCTCCTTATATAAGAGATAGGATTCTAGCTTTAATATAATTAACTAAGAGTTATGAATGTTTTTGTCCTTTTTTTTTTAAGTGTTCATAGTTAGGTACTTTTAAAAAAAAAAGTTTAATTAGATAAAATACAGTAAAATGCATAGATCTTAAGTAAACAGTTCACTGAGTGTTGACAGATACATGCACTTATATAACCCCTGCTCCAGTGAAGACATAAAACATTTCCATAACCACACAGTTTCCTTATGCTCCTTTCTAGTCACTGTCTCCCCCATGCCCCACAACCCCTGTTTGATTTATCTTAGCTTTGTTTTATCTGTTCTAGAACTTCATATAAATAGAATCATACAATGTGTCTATCATCTTTCACTTGACAAATTTTTTGAGATTTATACACATTATTGCTCATATCCCTGCAGAGGTAGATTTTTCAGTGTAAATGCAATTAGAGAGAAATGAAAACATTGCTAAATGAGACTGCTTTAAATGAGTATGTTATTTTATATATAAACTTTCTCTCGCTTTTTGCAAACAGGTTGTTCTGGTGACAGATGGCTGTCTTGGCATTGGTAGAGGGTCACTGCGGCATTCCCTAGCTACACACAGTCAACGAAGTGAGAGCAACAGGTTTCCACTACCTTTTCCTTTCCCATCTAAGTTATACATCATGTGCATGGCAAATTTGGAGGAGGTAATGCTTTTTAGCTAAGTTCTTTTTAGTTTGATTAGATACATTTTAGAACTCAGTTATTTTTTAGTGTGTATATTCCATGAGTATCATATTGCATGTACTATAACATTGAACTCCACTGGTTTCAGCTGAGGCTGGTCACTAATTGTATTTGAAAAGACTCAAGATCTCAATGTCTTTGAAAGTTCAGAGTGTTGCCCCAACTGTTTCCTGAGATGGTGTTAAATATTTCCCTCATTTAGGAATTTTCATGTCCATCCCACAGGAATGTTTACAGGAATGTGCTTTGATTTTTTTGGTAAAGTAATATGACTGATGCATGTTTTATTAAACTTTGCTTCCTGATTTTCTCGTTTACTCAGGAACATTAAACCTTTCTTTACTTCATATTTTCTATCTGTAAAATGTAGATAATAATGGTACTTACCAAAAGATGTTAGAAACACTTTGGAGGGAAGATATTGTATAAATACCTACCATGGTCACCTCTGAGAATCTTTGCAGAACTGCTTCTGAATGACATAGCTCTACTGGTATCATTTTATATGACATCCCTCTTTGGTAACCTTGAGTCAAAATTGTTATATTTTCCTTCGCACATGGTTAAAAAATCATCTATTATATTTATTGTCTGTGTTTTTGTGATGGGTATGACCTCAATGTGCTGATAAAATGGCATTTCATGCCACTTTAAAGGGGTCATCTGTTTTGCTTTGTAGCTTCAGAGCACTGATTCCTTGGATTGCCTTGAACGTCTCATAGACTTAAACAATGGCGAAGGGCAGATTTTTACTATTGATGGCCCCCTGTGCTTGAAAAATGTACAGTCTATGTTTGGGTGAGTATATACTTGAGGTTTTTTGCCTTCTTACAGTCCATTATAATTTGATAGCCAGCAATAGTAATCTATTTTACTATTTCTAATTGTGTCATTTTATTTTCCCCAAGTTGTACTTTTTTTGGATAAAATACTTGGTAGTAGTGATTTTTAAAAGTTCATTCCCTTTTAAATTAAGCATGACTAAATCTATAATGCCTATAGATACTGACTTCCTTATAGTGACTCAAGCAATTTGAGAGATTAACTTGGTTTGGGGCTTTTCAGAATTGAAATTGCCTCACCAAAAATGTCAGATTTTGTTCTATTTCACAAACGATCACATCGTTTTGGAGTCAACTCAAAGGGAAATCTAACTTAGCATATCGAAAAAATTACTTGAAGAAAATTATGTGTATCATAGTATTCTTCCTATAACAATTAATCATCATATTCTAGAAAACTGATAGATTTGGCATATACTCCTTTCCATGCTGTTCTCAAGTGTGGCCACCTAACCGCTGACGTGCAAGTCTTCCCCAGGCCAGAACCTTTTGTTGTAGATGAGGAAATCGATCCTATCCCTAAAGTCATTAACACAGGTAACTTTTTTTTTAAATTTCCTTCTTAGTTCTTCTGTTTTCCTGACTTTTTCCTAACCTCTGACTTTTACTCTTCCCTCTCCAGAAGGGTGGAAAAGAAATGTAAATTCCAATACTAGGGTGCTGTTGTCATCAGTTATACACTTTGGGTGGGAGGATGCATTGCCTAAGAGGTGGCAGATTAGTGGTCTTTTGTGGTGATGGTGAGGTCATGAGTTAAATCTCCAATCCTAGATAATTATAACCACAAATTACTAGAGTTGGAAATCATGGCCAGATTCATTAGCATTGAAGTCCTTGAAGTACTTCTTAATAGATACTAAGATTAATTAGCATCATAATATTGAGGTCGTATATGAAGGATAGACTTGGCTGTGTGACTCTTGTATGATCCTGGACAACTCACTTCCCCTTGTTCTTATTGGCTACATGAATGGAATCTCTAGGTGATTGATGGTCTCTAAAGTCTCAGCTCTGATATACTGTACCTCTCTAGCCCTGTTGCTTATATTATAACTAAAATAAAGCTATGTGCCATGGTTTTTACCTGGTTCATGTTGCTGGTTCTGTGCTTCGCTGAGATTGGCGAAGTGAAGAGTCAAAAGTAACAGGAATAGTGGAGAGGAGAGTTGTCTCCTGTTAGAGGGTGTACTCCTTGAGTTGTGGGTACATATTAAACCTCATTGTTTCAGTCACCATTGCACCATCAGCATTGCACCATTGCACCATCGCCTAATGTAGTGTCTGATGCTTAGTAGATATTGACTCAGTAATTGTTCAGTCAACAAATGATTCAGATTAAGTGCACAGTAAATGTTCATTTCATTACTTTCTTTAGCTGAGTAATCAGCTAATCTGAGAAGCAGATTTCCTGATATGTTAGAAGTACAGTGTACTCACCATGAGCTTGATTTTTAAAAAATTGTTTTGAGAATATCAGTGTGTGTATGCCTGGAAGAAAGATTGAAAAGCAATTCAATAAAGTATTAATAGTGGTTTCCTTTAATGATGAATAATGAGCGACTATTTTTCTGCTTTACAATTTTAATGTTTTCCAAGTTTTTATACTATTTATATAATCACAAAAACTTTTAAAAAGTACTTTGGGTTACAACTTTTATTTTTTACTTATTTTGGGTTTTCAACAAATATTTTTGGTCATAAATAATAGGCTTCTATAAAACAAAGAAATCATTTTCATGTTTGTACTGCTATGTTGGTTTTTTCTCAGGGAAACATTTTTAATACAATGGCTTTATCCTCCAAGGATGGCTACTTGGAGTTGTTGAGGAAGTGTTTGACTATGACGCTCCCTGGTGGCCTGAACATCCCTGATTATAGAGGGATTTGACCTTTTAAGCTTTTGCTTTGGCTGGGGACCTGGCCTCATAAAAATAAAGTCTAAGCTATTTGTCATATAACTTAAATTCATTAAATAAAAAACAATTATCCTTATTTCCTCAGCTTCCTAAATATAAATTTATTAGAGTTATCCAAAGAAGCTTCTAATAACCTCCCTAGTCATCATATTTGAATTCCCTACTTGAATTAAACATTGCGTTTGTGAAATCTAGCACATAGAAAATAATGTACTTTTCTATAGCACTAATTAGTTCTATGTTGATTCCTTTTCAGATTTGGAAATAGTGGGATTTATTGATATAGCTGATATTTCAAGTCCCCCAGTTCTGTCCAGACATCTGGTCCTACCTATAGCACTTAACAAAGGTGAGTTCTCTTCCTATTCTCGTGATACATATGAAGCATCTTATTGTCTAAAGTTATTTTTAAATGTTAGTAGGATAGCTCATTTTGCAGAATTTGGGGGAAAGGAATGGTTACAGGATTGGACCGGATTTTTAAAAATGGAAGGTTGCCTAATATACTAGAAAACTAGTTTTGCCACTTTACACTACGGAAAATATCTTGACACATAGTTACTGTGTTTTGTTTTGTTAATTTATAGTGGAAGTCCTCTTTAGAGATGAGAATGCTTAGTCCCTTATCCAGAGCTCTGCTGAAAAAGCCCAGGTTGTCCTCAAAGGTTGCCTGATAAATGTGGAGTCAAATACAGCTTCATAAGGGAGAGAATTTACATTTGTTCTGTTCCAGTGCCTAGCACATAGTAGATACTCAGAAAATACTGTTGAATGAATAGATGAATCTAGCCTTTTGTGCTGCTCATTACTTCAGAATAAAGTCATGTCTCCCAAAATTCAACATCTTTCTGAAGAATGTTAGTCTCTAGCACTTTACACTTCTCATTTCTCTGTTCTAGGCTGATCCTCCACTTTATATTCACCAGGTTTCTCCAAGAAGTGTATACAGTTAATCAGGTTTTTACTCACTGAGTGATGATCAAATTTTATGTATGCCAGTTATCTCAGTTGGAGAGTTGGGTATTCTCTAACCCGCAATCACACATTCACAGATAGAATCTTAATATGTTCTCACAGATGGCTTATTGTGATCGTAGTGTTTTAATTTACCTTATTGTTCTTGATATTTATAATAACCAGGTTTTCCTTATTTCTAAGGTCCTGGTTGGAGGATTCTTGCATACGCATATATATTGCCAAGAAAAGTGGGGAAAATGAAGAGTTTGTGTAAGGAAACTGGAAAGAAAAGTATGGGAAGGCAGAATGAGGCCATATTGTAAGGGCTGCAAGCTAAACTGGGCAAATTCTTCCTATTGAATGAGGAAGTCTTTGAATGAAATTGAGCAGACAGTTCCAGAGTGAAGTTAACTGTAGGAAGATTTATTTGTCAGAAGAATATATGAGAGACTGGAGTTGGAGAGTCAAGAAGTTTATGGAGTAATCACCTTTTACCTTTGGGGGGTGCCCATCCATGTGCTGCCTGAAGGCTGTCAGCTGAGAATGTTCCTGACATCTCTGAATCTGTGGTTCTGTTCAAATGGTGCCTGAAACCCCCAGGGAGCAGCTAGTTGAGTGTCCTGGTAGAAATTGTGGAAAGCTGATTTTTTTTTTTTTTTTTTGGATAGCAGCTTCACTGAAGTATAATACCATTTACTTCACCAATTAAAGGGTACAATTAATTAGTTTTTAGTATATTTACAGAGTTGTGCAACCATTACCACAGTCAGAGAATTTGAATTTTAGAATTTTCACTACCCCAAAAAGAAACCCTTTAGCTATCAACCCCTAGCCTTCCATCTCCCTCAGCCCCAGATAACCACTAATATCCTTTCTGTCTCTATAGATTTGCTGCTTCTGGATGTTTCATATAAATGGAATTCATATAACATGTGAAAACTGATTTTTATGTGGATGTAGGAAGACAGGAATATGAGTTTTTCTTGTTACATATTCTTTTATAACTCCATGTATTTTCCTTCCAAAGCTAGAAACAACCAAGAGTATAATTGGGGTTTGGGATTTTTATAGTAATCTCCGTCTGACCTGTTTCCTTTTCTTTTTACAGAAGGCGATGAAGTGGGTACTGGCATAACTGATGATAATGAAGATGAAAATTCAGCCAATCAGATTGCAGGCAAAATACCCAACTTTTGTGTCCTGCTCCATGGCAGCCTAAAAGTGGAAGGAATGGTAGCGATAGTTCAATTAGGGTAAGAAACTTTGTTTACCTTTGGTTAAGTGAAAGGGAAAATCAATTTACAAAGTGAAATATTTCCCAGACTTTTCTGAAAAGAAAATAGAAGGGTCCTTGTCACCTTTTTCCTCTCTCTGCCATACCCGTCCCACCTGCTATCACCTTCTAAACTCTTTAAATTATCCCCTAGAATAAGTACAGAGCGAGCCTATTAATTATATTGCTTTTATATTATATCTTTTCTTAGTTTTCCTCTTTCTTAGTCTATCTAGGAAACTTGGGTTCAGTTACAGCAATGCTACTAACTTGCTATCGGATCTTATGCAGTATTCATAAGCTATAAAATGAGGAGGTAGAACTAAATGAAAAAAGATTCTGATGTCATTCATTGAACATTTTACTGTGTGCCAGGCATTCCTCTAGGCACTTTATGTGTATTAATTCATTTAATCCCTCACAACAACACTATACAGAAGGTATCAATATTATCACCATTATATAGATAAGGAAACTGAGGCTTAGAGAGGTCAAGGAACCTGCTCAAGGTCACTCAGCTGGTAAATGAAAGAGCCAGGATTCTTACCCTTGCATTCTGACTCTAGAGTCCATGCTTGTAACCACTTTGCTATATTCCTTCCCTATGAGGAAAGCCCTTCTAGCTTCCACATTCACTATCTGCTTCCCATTCTATAATACCTGTTAGGAAAGAAGAGGCGACTGATCATCTTCTAGCCATTACCTGGGGTTGACTGATATAGAAGATAAAGAGGTTAGGAGTCCTCAGAAGAAGCATGGCTCCATTTCTGCTTTAGTTAATATTCCAAAAGGAAGAATGCAGTTCTTATTAGGTATTAGTTTACTGTATTTCTTGGTACCCAAGCTACTTGTACTAGCTCTGAATATGAGAATTACCTGGGACCCTTTGAGAAGTATGAGCAGAGCTGGGTGATGGCTTTGTGCTCTTTGTTGCAAGGGCTTCTGTATTGGTGCTGCTGTGAATGACTCAGGCTGTAGCTGAAAAGACCTGTAGCAGCCATTACTCCTCACCACCTGCAGCTACTTGCTGCCCTTGTGATTTTTTTCTCTTTTAAGACTGCTTTTGATTTCCATATCTATATAATTGAATAAGAATATGTCTCAGGGGAATGGTAATATTAGGAAGCAGCATTATGCATTTTCAGGTTTAGGATTTGGCTTTAGTAAAAGTAATACATTCCTATGTTGCTCAAGAGAAAAACACAGATTAGACTTATTTACCTTGACAATCCCAGGCTTGATGTTCTTCTGATTTTCCATCTTCTCTCTATCTAGTCCTGAATGGCATGGAATGCTCTACTCCCAAGCTGACAGCAAGAAGAAATCAAACCTCATGATGTCTCTCTTTGAGCCTGGCCCAGAACCTCTCCCATGGCTAGGGAAAATGGCACAGTTGGGTCCTATTTCAGGTATAACCCAGATCAGATTTTATTTATCTCGACTTTGTTTTCTCTCTGCTATTCTAAATGGCTCTGACTGTGCAGAGAGTTGTGTGATCGCCCTGATGAGTGTGCTGTGGTCTCTGATGCTAGATATGTACATGGAGAACCCCAAGAGTTTGATATTAGAACTTTTAACTGTATAGGTTAGGGCAGGGGTCCTCAACCCCTGGGCTGCAGACCAGTACTGGTCCATGTCCTGTTAGGGACCGGGCCGCACAGCAGGAGATGAGCAGTGAGCAAGTGAGCGAAGCTTCATCTGTATTTGCAGCTGCTCCCCAGCACTAGCATCACTGCCTCAGCTCCACCTCTGGTCATCAGGCATTAGATTCTCATAGGAGCACCGGTCCCTAGTGCCAAAAAGGTTGCTTTAAGTACATATAAACGCTTATAGTGAAAAGCTGCTCTCCATAAACTTTTTTAGTGTAATTTTCAACCCAGGTAACTCCTAGTCATTCCTAGAAAATTTAATCCCCTTCCTTATTAAAACTTTTCCTTTGGCTTTCTCAACATTGCATTCCCTTGATACTTACCTTTTTCTTTAGCAACTTTTCTTTTTCTCCTCATCTTTTCTTCTTGCCTCATGATTCCCAAGATGTTGTTCTTTGCTTTCTTTGTGTTATTACTCTCTCCCGGTTATTTCATCAGCCGTTATGCTTCCTACTCCCCCAGATATATAACTCTAGTCCTGCTTGATCTCTTCCTGGAATTTACATATTATATTCCCACTTCCTAGTTGGATCTCTCCACCTGGATATTCTGCCAATCCCAAGCTCAGTGTGTTTGTTATAGAAACCATTGACTCTCACCCTTTCCCTCCTAAACCGTTCTTTATTTTTTCTCTTCTTTCCGATGGATGCCTTTGTACTCTTAGCTACTCAGGCTCCAACTGTAGAGTCATCCTTGACTCATTTGGACCCATTTCAATTTCAGGAACATCTACCAAGGAGCCTATTTTATACCAGGTCCATGGGATACAAGAGTTAGCAGGAGTTGCTCAGTGTAGTGGAAAGTGGAATAATAAACACAGACTGACACAAGATCAGAGTTAGCCTACAGGAGGAGATGATCACCTCTGCCTAGAGGACTCAGAAAAATCTTCACAGAGGAGTGACACCCTAGCTGAGTTTGGCAGGGGTGGGGAAGAGGAATTTGCTGAGCCAGTGAAAGAAGAAAGGGCATCCTGGACAAATGGAACACCTATAGTAAAGAAAGGAGCGCTGGAGCACAAAGTGTAAGGATGGGAGGGCCAGATGGTAGGTTAGAGCAGGAATCCCCAACCTTTTTGGCACCAGGGATTGGTTCACTCACCTGCCTGCCGCTCACCTCCTGCTGTGCAGCCTGGTTCCTAATAGGCCATGACCCAGTACCGGTCCATGGCCCCGGGGGTTGAGGACCTCTGGTTTAGAAGTTGGCAGTGGCTAGAGCAGGGCAGGCCTCGTTTGAAATATGAAGAGCTGAGACTATTCTGCAGGTACTGGGAAGCCACTGAAGGGTAGTAATATGGTCACATCCTTCTAGCTGTAATGAGAACAGTGGAGATACCAGTTAGGAGACTTTGTATTCTGGGATTGGTGCCCCTGGAGTTGTGTAATATGGGCAAAATTCAAGTGAGAGATAGTAAATTTGCATTTAGAAAGACAGCTGTGGAGTGTGAATTTGAAAAGATAAAGTCCTGCAGTTAAAGTCTGATAGTCCTGAAGATGCGAAGGTGGGAACCAGAACAGGGGCAGTGGCTGAAGACAGAAAAGACGGGATTCATGTAAAAGATATTTAGGAGGTAGAATCGACAGCGTTTAGGCAGGAGAATGAAAGAGAACAGTTGAGAATGATCCCAGGATTCTGACTTGGGCTGCAGGGTAAAAGGTGGTACTATTAATTGAAACTGAACAGAGGAAGAAGAGTAGATTTGAGAAGAGCATCTTTTGTGCATGTCGTGTCTGTGCTTATGAGATTTAGGTGAAGGTGCCTAGAGACAATTTCTGTAAGAGTCTGGAGTTCAGGAGAGAGGGCAGAGTTAGAAATATAATTTTTAGTTATAAGCATATCCCTCATAGTTAAAATGGTGAGAATGTGGGAGATTACTTAGAGTAATGGTTCACAAATTTGAGTTTTTGTGTACAAAAACAAACTTGGAGAACTTTGTAAAAATTCTGTTTCCTAGGCCCCACCTACAGAGATTCTAATTCAGTAGGTCTGGATTCAGGCCCAGGAACTTGAAGTTTTAATATTACCCAGTGATAACAATCTAGGTGATCCATACCACACTTTAAAAAATCCTAGCCTCAGGACAGTTTATAGATTAAGGAAAAAAGCCAAGGACCAGACCCCTAGGAAGAGCCACCTACCAGGGACAGCGGAAAAGGGCGTTAGTAGAGCAAAGTGAGAAGGAATAGGCAGATAAGAGAGGAAAAGTAGTAGAAAGTGATGTTGCAGAAGCCAAGAAAATAGATACTCAAGAAGGAAGTACGGTGACATGGCCTACAATATCTTACACACATGCCTTTTGCCATTGAAGCCTAGAGAAGATTTTGATAGAACATAGGCCCTGGAAGCTAGGCCAAGGGTCAGCAAACTTTTTCAGCAAAGGGCCAGATAGTAAATACTTTAGACTTTGCAGACCATATGGTCTCTGTCATAACTACTGAACTCTGCCATTGTATCACAATACATAAATGAATAGGAATAATTGTATTCCAAAAAAATTTATTTATGGACACCAAAATTTGAATTTTATATAATTTTCATATGTTATAAAATATTATTCTTTTGATTTTTTCCCCAGTCATTTAAAAATATAAAAACCATTAACTCAAAACAGGAAATAGGCCATAGTTTGCCAGCTCCTGAGTTAGGATCCAGGGAGTGGGGTTTTAAAGCTCACACAGGAACCAGAGACATGTCTTTGGTTCCAAACAAGACAAGGAACTGACATCTCTGAGTAAAGCTGGAAATGTATGTCTACCCCTTCAGTCAGAGGATGATAAAAATTCTGATTGTTTCTACCTGCTTTTCTAGATATAAAGAAATTTAAAAGTTTCCCATGAGAAATTGAAGTCCAAGTCCTGTACCATGCAGATTGACACTATCTGAAGTGCAGACTTCTAAAACCAGACAGTACAAAAACTGGTTCTGAAGTGATGAAACCCTTGGTGCATCCTCCAGAAGCTAAAGTAATGACTCTAGGAATACCTCTACAACCCAGGGCAAAAGGACTTCTACAGAAAAAAAACTAATTCCCTCTGAAGATGAGTTCATGATTTGAAAAAAAGTTTCTGAGTCACATGAGGATTCTATCTTCTTTGAAGGAAGGCCCACAGGAGGATTAGCACTTTGAGAACTTAATCTGAAGACACTGTAGAATTTAAATGATTAAAGAGGTTTAGAAAGGACTAGAAACCCAGAGGAAAGAAGAGGACACTATGAATCAAGAATCATTTGATCTTGACAGGTTATTGATGGTATTATTATAAGAGTAGCTTCAGTAGATGGTTAGCCAGGAGACAGGTTGAGGAATGAGTTAGAAATGAGAAAATGAAGATGACAAGATTGGCCACCAAGAGAAGAGAATTAGGGCAGTAATTCGAGGAGAACACAGGTCAGAGGAAGTTGTGTGTGTTAGGATGGAGATTCCACACCTTCATCTAGTCTCTCTCTAGTGTTCCTACATTCTTCTACCTTTTCGTTCTCACTGCTCTTGCCTTGTTGTGGCTTCTTTACCGTTTACTTAGCTCAGAGGTCAGCTAACTGGCCTGGCCTGCAGGCCATATTAGCCCACTGCCTGTTTTGTAGGTAAAGTTTTATTACACAGGCACACTCATCCCTCATCCTTTTTCCATATTCTCTATAGCTGCTCTCTTGCTTCAGTGGCAGAGTTGAATAATTAGAACAGAGACCATATCACCCACAAAGCCTAAAATATTTACTCTCTGGCCCTTTACAGAAAGTTTGCCGACCCATGACTGAGACTATTGTGATTGTTTTCACCACAGATGCCTTTCTGTAATCTAAGACAGTAGCTTCAAATTCCTTTCTGTCTGGCTTCCAACCTAGCAATACTTGGCTTGGTATATATATTCTTCATTCAAATTGAATTGCTGTTTCTCTGCCTTATATTTGTTTTTTTTTTCTCCCTCAGGGTCTGTTCTTTTCAGTGAGGATAGTAAGAGCTAACATTTTATTGAATTTAATTTTTGTACTAGGCACTGTGCTAGACACAATGAAATGTATCATTTAATTCTCACAACAGTCTTATGAGGTTGAGATTGCCATTATGGTAACAAGTAAAAATTGATAATAAAACCTACTTTAGAGGGTCGTGGAGAGAATTTATTGAGGCAGTGTGTAAAAAGAGCCTAACACAGTAGGCACATAATAATGGTAGAGCCTACTTTTTTTTATATTTATAAAATCCATTTATTTTTGTTTGTTTTTTACTATTAGTTATAAGTATACAGTACATTGGTTAGGCATTTACATAGTTTATGAAACGGTCCCCCTGATTACTCTATCTCCCCTCTGGCTCTACACATAGTCATTACCTGACTGCATTCCCTGATTCTGTGCTCCACTCCCCGTGACCATCTATCATTTATTTTTTTAATCAAAGCAAAGTATGCAAAATAGTACCATTGTTTATTCTTATCCCTCCTACTTCTAATTCTGTTCCTAGAGAAAACTACTTTTAACTTTTAATTGTTTCTTTTGGTATTTGCTTACATTTCTAAAGAATGTAAGTATGTAGCTATTTCTTGACTTTTTTAAAATTTTAATTGTCATTTTTTCACTTCTTAAGGATGACTACTTAGTTCTCTTACCACCACCATGCCTACCCATCTACCCAAGAAGCACATTTTTCCCTTCCTCTATCCTTCCAATGTGGTTATAGTGGGGTTTTGTTGTTGTTGTTGTTAAATCAGTATTCTGTACTTGTTAGATGATGTAAATGTTATTTACAACTAAGCCATGTGGTATACCAAGTTACATTTCCTTTGTTTTGCAACTCTTTGTCCCCTGCCCCAGTTACTTTTTTTTTATTAGATTTTTTCCTCTTTTTCCTAACAGGCAACATAAATGTATTCTAACTTCAATTAAAAAGAAAGCATATATTGGAAAGACACTGAGGTTCCTTAGAGACTCCAGGAAAAGAGCTGGGCAGCCAGCCTTCCTCTACTTTCTGTACTTTTCTTTCTTTTTTTTTCCCTTTGTTGTTTTCTGTGTAGCTATAGCTAATTCCTACCTAAGTAAAATACACTCTTCAGATATTTTTGTCAGGTTTTTTTTTCCTTAGAGTCATCTCCTTTCCTCGTTTCATAAATGGACTGGTTGTTTTCTCAGCCTTTTGCCTAGTTCTCTTCACTTCTTTCCTATGGATCTCTGATATCATGAATCCTCCTGAGAAAAGGATACATAAGAAGTAAATGTTTGAAATCTTGCATATTTGGAAATATCTGTACTTCATCCCTTACACTAGATTGACAGAGTTTGGTTGAAATATTGAGGTCTAGGTTGGGAATCATTTTCCCTTTGAGTTTGAAACATTGTCTGTTGTTTCTTCTGGCTTCTAGTGTTGCTACTGAGTCTTGTACCATGCTGGCTCTCTGTGCTTTCACTCTAATCTGTTCTCTGCACTCCTTGAGGTTCTTCTTTGTGCCACTGGTGTTCTGGATTTTTAGAATGATGTATGTCGTTGTTGTTCTCTTCATTTATTGTGCTGGGCACTCAGTAGGCCATTCCATCTGGCAATTCATATTCTTCATTCCTGGGAACATGAATTATGTCTTTGATTTTCCCCTCTCTAAATTTTCTGTTCTCCCTTTCCAGAACCTATGTTTATGATTTGTGTGTATGTGATTTTCTTCTACCATTTTTCTATTTTTTAATTTTTGTTCTACCTTCTGTGAGGTTATCTTCAACTCTATCTTGCAACTGTGTTTATTTATTTCTGCTGTCAGATTTCTTATTTCCAAGAGCCTCCTGTTATTTTTTCACAAATGCAGTATTTTCTGTCTGGTAAGCCAGTTACCACATACAGGTTCCAAACAGGCAGTACAAAATAGGCTATGATTACATGTTGAAATGTTTAGTACTAATAATGAGAACTGTAGGATAGAAAGATCTAGAGAAATTACTGTCTGCCAGAAAAAGTTGGGACAACTTTATAGAGAAGGTAAGGTAGTATCTTGACTTAGAATGTAAGTAAATATGGGTAGGTGAGAGATGGCACTGTTGAGTGATTGAAAAAGTGTCATTGGGACCAGGCCCACCTGAGTCACTGTGAAATCTGTGAAGGTCCAACCTCTCTGAACTTCAGTTTCTTCATCTTTAATAGAACTAATAATATTTACCCTCTAGTGTTGCTGTAAGGAGAGAAGTTGTTTGGCACACAGTTGTAATTTAATAAACATTCTTTCTAAGTTTCTTGAGGCCAGAAAAATATCTTCTGTAGCCATACTTCTAGCTTGCTACGCACTGGGGTCTTACTATAAATAATGAATGAATAAGTTAGTGAGGGAATAAATGAATGAGGAAAGGATTGCATTTCAGGCAGGGGAAATAACAAATAGTGGCAGGTAAGTTGGATATAAGCATGTTGCATGGGAAAGGATTGTTGGGATCTTGGCCTTATTGAAAATGTTTATACAGAGACAAGTATTCATGGAAATATGTCTGGAAAGCTGGGTCAGTACTTTTTGGAGGGGTCGGGAAGAGGGACTGACAGATGTAGTGTGGGGCCAGTGTAAAGCATTTAAATTACTGACTAAATTGGGGTTAGAAAGCTTCTGGTTCAGTTAGTAAAACTGGGCTAATTCCAGTTTTCAACATGAACATTTGGGATTTAAGCTCCCTAACTTGGGAAAATGATTTCCACCCTGTCTACCCCAGAAGGTGTAATAATAAGGATAAAATAAGACAATAGATGTTAATATGCTTTATAAGTTTGTGCCAGAGTTTCATTGGCTTAAGAAGCCAGTAGAAAAACCCTTGTTTATCCATGTGGCTATAAAACTAACATGACTCTAATTCTTTGGAAGCAATAACCTAATAAGCTGTAATAAGGTGGCGTATGTTTCAACAAAAAGTATTTTTCTCCTTGCCCTTTTCCTTAATTTGGCCATATATAATTTTTCTTTTTAATTTTCTCAGTGCCTAGACCTATGCTGTCTAATCCAGTAGCCACTGGCCACATGAGGCTATTTAAATTTAATTTAATTAAGTAAAATTTAAAATTTAGTTCCTCAGTTACAGTAGCCACATGTCAAGTGTTCAGTGGCCACTTGGTCTAGTGGTGGCCTTTTTATCATCACAGAAAGTTCTGTTGGAGAGTGCTGGGCTAAACCTTATAGAACTGCAGTATATGTACTTATATATTTTTAAAATAGTACTTTAGTATTATTGTATTAGTTTTATCCTCTCTGACTTTAATTTATAAAACAGATAAAAGAAGCTTCTTTCTTTAAAAACATTAAGTTATGTTTTACTTACATGAACCTTGGATGATTATTTGGTCTCCTCCATCAGTAGCTTTCTATTGAGAGCAAGTTCCCCAACCTGACTAAAGTTAATGGATTGTCTTAATCAGGGAAGTATCAGGATGTGGACGATTGAATAATTCAAAGAGCTTCTAGCCTAATTGGAAATGTGATTGTGTTTTGCCAGATATCATTTCAAGAATGTCTTTTTCTTTTAAGATGCTAAAGAAAACCCTTATGGTGAAGATGACAATAAGAGCCCATTCCCCCTGCAGCCCAAAAACAAACGCAGTTATGCCCAGAATGTGACTGTCTGGATCAAACCCAGTGGCCTGCAGGTAACATTACTATTCACATTGCTTTCCACTAGGGACAGGAGGAAGGATTCTGACAGGCAGGCAGACATTTGATTTTATTTTCCTTTCTTTTGATACTTAGTAATTCATTTACTTTTAATGTTTGTCATTATTTCCAAAAAGGATTTGAGGTGGCCTACAGTAAAACACGTATATAGCAAAATCATTTTTTATAAAATTTAGAGCAATATAAAACCTAGAGGAAGAGGGGAGTCAATTGTGCCAGGAACCCAAGGCAAAATGATAATTATATTTGTGCTATTTGGCTCTGAGCTTCCCACTACCAAGATCAAAAAAGAAACATGTAGGATTTTGTGTTAGGTAGCTATGACTGATAAAAGGAAGCATGTCAGTTTGTGTAGAGAGAGACATTTTCCTGGCATTGAATTTTAAAAATGTAAAATTTTTAACATGCTGAGGCATTGAATAACATAATGGATGTGATTACTTCCATCCCCACAGTAGAGCCTAAACCATAGTATTACATAGTAGGTAACTGCACATAAACACTTCCATGGGAAGCCAAGATTATACTGTTATCAAGGTATACTACTTTCAGGAAAGGTATGCAGTGACACTTCTCCCATTGACGTAAAGTCATTTATATCTATTTTTAAAAATCATTTATCTTCTTTTCTCATTTGAGTACCATGTTTTTTTCCTTTGTTTCTCTAGTGTGTCCAGCTCAAGTTAGATGAGAAGAGCAGTCAGGCCACCAGAAGTAGCTTATGTTGATGGCATAGTCTCTTCTAGCCTCCTTTTCATAAAGACTAGATACATCCTGCCATGACTAAGGGGGCAGAGATCACTTCTCTTTGTTGGAAAATCATGTTCTCCCTCTTTCCTGCCATCCCTTATCCCAGTACTTCCCTATTGGAAAGATTTCTTCTAAAGTTTTCTGAAATTATTTTTTAAATTTTATTTTGGTCTGGGTATATATTTTTTTATTGTGATGAAATACACATAACATTTACCATTTCAAATATTTTAAAGTATACAATTCAGTGTCATTTAGTACAATCACAGTATTATACAACCATCACCACTATCTAGTTCCAGAACATTTCATTACTCTAAAGGAAACCCTGTGCCCATTAAGCAAGTTACTATGTTCTCATCTTTCCCTTGGCCCTTAGCAACCACTAGTCTACTTTTTGTCTGTATGGATTTACCTATTCTGGGTATATCATATAAATGGCATATATAATACGTGGCCTTTTGTGTTTGGCTTCCTTCCACTAAGCATAATGTTTTCAGCATTCATTTGTGTTGTAGCATATGTCAGTACTTCACTCCTGATGATGGCTAAGTAATGTTCCATTATATAAATATGTCAAATTGTGTTTATCTGTTCATTCAGTTGATGAGCACTTGGATTGTTTTGGTTATTATAAATAATGCTGCTATGAACATTTATCAAATTAATTTTTTTTTCTTTTGTTGCTCTGCTGTTGCTGTTGTAACTAAGAAATGATAGCCAAATCCAAGGTCATAAAGATTTACCCCTATGTTTTCTTATAAGAGTTTTATAGTTTTAGCTCTTATGGTTAGGTCTCTGCTTTATTTTGAATTACTTTTTTGTATATGGTGTGAAGTAAAGGTCTAACTTCATTCTTTTGCATGTGGCTATCTAGTCCTAGCACCATTTGTTGAAGGGACAGTTCTTACCCCTATGGAATGGTCTTGGCATCCTTGTCAAAAAGCAGCTGGCAGTGTATGTATGGGATTTCTGGATGTGTTTTTGTGAGACAATTTCATTTCTGTCACGAAGGAATTTATTATTATCAAGCATTTTGAAGGAAGGAGGGGCTTTAATAATGTTGAACAGAATGGTGACATTAACTTAGAAGGGATCCTCATCTTGACACTATGGCTCTGTTCTCATTTTCATTTTTTTAAATGTTTAGAGCCTTCCTTTTGTTTTCTTTCTCCTTTTATCATAGATTTCTAATGTTGAATTCTTTTTACCTTTGATAGACAGATGTACAGAAGATTTTAAGAAATGCAAGGAAACTACCTGAAAAAACACAGACATTCTATAAGGTAAAACTACCAGAATTACAGTGGAAGAGGGTAGGCCAGGCACTATTATGTACCAAAAATAAATGGTTCACAATTGTGTGGGGTAGCAGAGTGAACATGGATAGGAATTAGAAATGTATGGCTTGTGCTTTCAGTTTTTTTCATTAGTAAAGTCAGTAGAAGTGATGGGTCCATAGCTACCCTAAAATACAAGAATGACAAGTGTTTAAATGGCTCAATTCTGTGTTGGTGCTGCTGTGAATGGCTAAGGGAAGGAGCTGAAGGGACCACAACCCTCATAGCCCTTAACCCTCCTCACCACTCCCATTGGGCATCCAGTCTAACCCTAGACAACTATTGTATATGACTTCCTGGGATGGTGATTGCCCAGAATATTCTTACTGTACCAGAGAAGCTGCTTCCAGGAATGACTTCTAAAATTGCACATTTATTGCAAAAGGGTGGCCTTCTGCAATCATATCCAGTTAATCCAGACCCATTGGTAGAGGGAATAAAGTTACAAGGAGTGATGTGGAGTGTGAAGCATTAAGCTCACTTGTATCTCCCATCCTTCTGGTGTTTGGCCAAAATCAAATTATGCAATGTGAGGTATGCTGTGTTGTCAATTGTGTTCTAGCTTGTTAATCTTAAAATATGGTACACACAGCCAGCCCCAGGCTGGCATTTCTTCCAGAGAACATACATGCTATTTTGTCTGGATGTTATCTCATTATCTTTAAGTCACTATTGTCTTCAAACCTTATTATGTAGTGAACTGATGAAATCAAGCAAGAGCTACCTTAATCAAAGTTCAACCAGAGAGCTGCTCAGCCTATCAACTGAAGCCCATAATCCACATAGGCCCTTGATGACCACTCCTTGGCTACAGTCCCTCTCCCTGCAGAGCTTTCTACACACGATTGCCAGCTATCTATTCAAGATGGCACATTTGTACTTTGGCATTCTTCTGAACTTGTCACTTGTTAATAGATGATAGTGGAGAGATGGTCAGAAAGCCCGTTCTCTTGTCTGGTTTTATATAATCTTACATATTAGAGCTGAAAAGGGCCTCTACCAGGCAACTGTGTCAACCCCTGCAGTGAGCAATGAAGAGGTTATCCTTCTCATTTTGTAAATGAGGCCACTGAGACCCAGAGAGGCTACACAACTTGCCCAGATCATACTAAGTGGTTGATGGGGCACTTCCTATTTCTCTGCTTCCATCCGCTACTGGATGTTTTTGTGGCAGTCTTTCAGGTCAGACTTCCTGACTCCTCCAGAGCCTCCTCCAAACATGTTCATTGTCATTCAGCCTGAGGCCCAGCCAGAGGGGCAGGAGAGGCTTAAGAGCCCTCTGACATTTGGGGCAAGCCTTTTTCATACCTGAGTAACAGAGGAAAGGTAACCCTCCATAGATTTATGGGTAAATGAAATGATGTATGCAATACCTCACCGTGTTTGGCATAAGAGCTTATTAACTGTGCTGATGATGACCTGTGTTTCAGTCAGCTGTCTTCCTTCCCCAGCTTTTTTCTGATCACCTGTAGAGGAACCGCTTTCCAGTCATGTCGTTAAACTAGCAGCATCTCTGTACAAGTGTTTCTTCTCATATAAAAATGCTCACTTAAGTTCAGGGATCAAGGAGAACGTATTCTAAGCTGAGCACTTAAAAAGTATATGGTGAGGAAAATGCATTTTTTTAATCTTGTTTCAGGAGCTGAACCGTTTACGAAAGGCCGCCCTGGCCTTTGGTTTCCTGGACCTGCTCAAAGGGGTGGCTGACATGCTGGAAAGGGAGTGCACACTACTTCCTGACACAGCCCACCCCGATGCTGCGTTCCAGCTGACCCACGCTGCCCAGCAGCTCAAGCTGGCCAGTACTGGCTCCTCCGAGTATGCCGGCTACGACCACAATATCACACCTTTGCAGACAGACTTCTCTGGGAGCAGCACTGAAAGAATGTGAAGACCTCCCTGAGGCTGCCTCAGAAGCACCTCTTGCTGGTTTGAATGACTCTGCTACAGTCTGAAAAGGGTTCTGAAGGGTGGTTGGCTGCTTAGGCTTTGACTTTAGCTTTCTGGGGCTCAGTCTCTTTAAACCCAAGACACTTGTTGCTCTCATGATTGGTACATCTCCTGAGAAGCTTGAAGGACTGATGAGCACAGAGCTCTCCCCCTTTCTCAGGAAACCTAACTAGCAAGGGTCCTCTGGCCTCCAAAAGGTGTCTTTTATCAAACATAAGGACATTTTCAAGCTTATGTCCCTGGAATAAGCAATCCAAACTGTCTGGGTTTGCTAAGTACAAGCCCTACACCACTAAGTTTCAGAACTTAGAACTTGGGCAAAACTTGGTGGTAACCCTTAGGTGCTTTTGGTATGTATTGAGATATACTTTTAAATAGCAACCATAAATGTATAAAATTATTCCTGATTCTTCAAGATTTTTTTTTTTTTTTTTTAAGGAAAATATTTCTTCAAGGCTTTTTTTTTTTAATGAAAATAAAATAATCTGGTTTTCTGTAAAATGGTTTCACTGGGAAACTAATGGGTCTTTGCCTTCTGGTCTGTCCTGTCACCTAGATATAATTTCAGCATCCTGTGTGGCACAGATTTATGTACCATGTACCAATATGGGTTCCATATTGCCTTCCTTGTTTCTGACACTGGTTAGGCCTCACTGCCTAAGCCAAGTTCCATCCATGTAGATTCTGACAGGTCACTGCAGTCAGCTCTAGTTCCAATTCATCAGCTAGCTTCATGACCTTGGGCAAGTCCGGTAACTTATCTAGGTTTTAGTTACATCATCAATGGTTTTCAAATTGCTCTGTGGACCATTTAAATTTCAACCTGAGCAGCCATTTTTAGTTTAACATGCTGAAATGTTATATAATATATTTTCTGAACAAAGGACTTTATCACTAACAATTGGCAAACCATCAGAGTAAATGATCTTTAAACACAAGTTATTAGGATTTTGACTGCAAATGTTTAATAGAAATACACAATCTTTTGCTTTCTCAGACAGCAACAAAGGGGCCCAAAAGAATACAAGATTCTGCCACAGATGCAACATAATCTACTGCAAAGCTGATCTGCCCAATTACACACAGAAAATCAGTTGAAAGAACATCAGAAGTTAATACAAAGAAGTGATGACAGAAGTTACAGACATGCAAAACATCCTTCAGTGCAATGGACTTGTAAAAAAAATCAGCCAGCCTATGCTAATCAGATGTTTTTAGGTCAAACCAAGTTTCCATCTTGGGATCAGAGAAACAGCGTAACTCATTTAGTCCCCTTTACCACAGGAACCGTGGAAATGGCAGAATAGAAAGAGCTACCGTGCCTTAAAATCTTTTATATAAGCATTACTTCTAACACATTTACTTGGTTTACCTGGAATGTAGTAAAGGAAACGTTTTGACAATGGCCAAACTTCATAATGTCCAGATTTGTCTTCATAATGTCATAGTGTCTGTTAGTGGGTTTCCTGCCGGGAATCTTTGTTAAAGAACCAGCTGGTAGTTCTCCAGCCAAAGTTCTCACTCTATTCACTGTCCTACTGCAGACAGGTGAAACAGCAGGATCAAAGGTGTTTTTGAGGTCTTGTCAAAAACAGACAATCCCACCACTTACTCTGACAGATACAAGTAAATGTACTCAGCCAGTGCAGGGGAAGGAAAATTGAGTTTTTAAGTTTGTGCACAGCCTATATTTTGTAGGTGTGCTTAGTATGGCCTAATGTTTCCAGTTTGCTACAGCTACATCACTAGCAGTTGTCTTATGGCCAGTTTGACCTTTCTGACCCTTATAGCCATTTGGGTTTGGAATTCTTATAATCTCATTATATTCCAACTAATGTTTCATTTTTCTTTAGTGTTGAAAATAGTTCTGATTTAGCTAGGAGTAAAGTGATCATGGTGTTCCAAGGTTCTGACTGGTTTCTCTCAAATCATTCTGTGCCCACACAGGTAAGCACCATAGTAACACAGTGTTAGGCCGAAAGATTCAGAGGTAATATGCGTTCTCTAGCCCCACTCAGACTCAGAAATGTTTTATCAATGACTAAGTTGAACTTGATTTTTGAAAAATCAATGCCACCCCACTTAACAAGTAACCCCTTAGGTACAGAATATATTAGGTCCTGCCTGAAATCACTTTCATAGCCTCTTGTAGAGCAAAATAGTCATTTTTTTCACAAGTAATAGCTGAAAAGAACAAATCCAAGCTGTAAGAAAGAACAGCCAGTACCTGGTAGGGTCAGGGCACTGAAGAAATCTCTCTGGCCTGTGAAAGAGAATGACAGGACATGGAGGGGGGGGAGGGGCGGGCAGGGCTGAGTCTGCTGTCACTAACAGAACACAAAAGAATGAACCTGTCATCAGATACCAGGAATCCATGTCATGCAAATACTACACTAATATAATAAATTCAGGGATGTTACTGGGGAAAAGAGAAGATAACCTCACTGAGAATTTAATCATTTAACTTTAAAAAAAAACGTTTACATCAGTATAAGAAAGTAAAACTGTTAAGAATTATAGATTAGGCTCAAACCGGCAAGAAGTCATCTAAATCTCTCTTTTTAGTGGATCTTTTTCTTTTTTTGTCCATAGCGCCGCCTGCGCTGCTTATAAAGGTGACGGAAATTTATGTATAACCCTGGAAAAGAAAAGAGGCCAATTAGAAATGAGAATCTTTGTATGTAACCAGAAGCTGTTGGGGTAAGGACAGTCTCTAGTTGTCTGTTTTTCATATCCCACAGCACTGTGCTTATTGCAGGAAGTTCAACTTATTAAGTTACTCAATTAACGATGCACTAGAGACAACTCAGTTTTTCCCCAGTGGATTTACAATTTAATTTTCTGCCATATTTTTATTATAAAAAATTTCGCACAAAAGATTAAATCATTGTGACCACCTAGATTTAAACTTTAACTGTTTATTACATGCCCATTCCCACCTCATTTTTGATGTTTTTCAATGTAAGTTACAGATATCAGTACACTTCACTCCTAAACATTTCCTTAGAGTTCAGTATTCTTTTTTTCTTTCTTTTAAGGTAAGATTAATATAAAATACACAAATATGAAGTATAGAAACAACCCAATTTTTAATTCAAAGCTATTCAATAACACGTATTAAGCAACAGTTGAAAAGGTATAACTTTTCTTAGGAAGCACAATTTAGTAAATTAGAAAACACAAGATTTCAGAGTCAGAAAAAAATTTGTTCTACTTTACCACTCAATAGTTCTATGGCTTAGCCTCACCTTAGATTCCCCATTGTACAACAGAGTTAAAAACTTATTTTACAGACTTACTGTAAGAAAATGTATGTTTAGAAAAGTACTTTGATCTATATACAAATGTAACTAGTTATACTGCTAAATTATGCAAATTTAGCATTTATTCATCCTGAAGAATAAAAACTACATATTCATTGTGGGCAAACTGAGTATAAAACCTTGTAAATTAAGAGTGTGCAACAACATAAACAACACAAAAGCCGTTAAGCTTAGTACATATTAAAATACTTCTTACCCTTGTAAATTTTTTAAGTAAAATATTTTAAGGGTCTTTCCAATACTTATTCCTCTTTAACATTTCAGTAAGCCCACCTCATGGAGCCTAGTTACAGCAATACTAGATTTATCCTGTAATAGAGGTAAAGACTCAATGATTGCATTTTCCAAACCGAAGCTTACTCCCTTCAATAGCCAAATATTTTAACATTTTTGTTAAAAATCTTTCTGAAATAGATTATACCCTTTCTGAAATAGAAAAGAAATGTAATAAAAGTTAAACTTTGGCAAATGATCTACATCCATGAAGTATATCATTTAACTGTGCTTCTGCCATGTACTGATACCCTGAGGTATATAAGTCTCTTCTCCTCCAATACTAAATGGCCAAGACCACTGGCCTTTTTGGATTCTTGGGTTTACTTTTTGTAGTATTCCTCTAACTTTTTGGGGTGGCCTGCCTTCATGACGACCCCCAATAATCCCTACCTTCCTCCAGGTATTTCATACCCTTGTGTAGTTCCCTCCTACATTGTACTAGGTTGGTCTGTGTGACCAACAGAATATGGGAAAAGTGACAAAATGTCACTTCCAAAATTAGGTTATCAAAGGCAATGTGGACTTGACAGAGGTGCTAATTATCACTACAATGGCAATCATAATACATAGATGTATCAATTCAACATGTAGCATACCTTAAATATATACAATGTTATGTCAAATATATTACAATTTAAAAATCAAATATATTTTTTAAAAGGCAGTGCAGCTTCTGGATCTCTCTCAGATCACTTGCTCTGGGAAAAGTCATGTCATGAGCAGCCATATGGAAAAGTACTGTGGCAAGTACTGAGGCCTCCTGTCCACAACTGCATGAGTGAGCCTGAAGCAGATCCTCCAGCCCCAGACAAGTCTGCTGAAACTAGCCGCAGCTGAGTTGACAGCTTAACTGAAACCTCACGAGGACCACCTCTATCATACCTCTGTGACATTAGTGCTCCATCACATTCATACTGCCTTTTATAACCTAATCTCAAAGTGACATACCACCACTTTTCCCATATTCCTGACACTCAGAAACCATGTGAGATAATGTCGTCCTAAGCTGCTAAATTGGGACATTATTCGTTACACGGAAATAACTAATATACTATGTACTGTCGCATCCTCTGTTGCTAGGCGATCGGACAGCCATACTTATTTAGGGCCATCCCGAGACTTTTGTGAACTAAAGCAGAGATAAAGTCATAAATTATGTTAAAATGTGTTAGAATTTTATCTAAAGTTAACATTCTTATGGTTAGGAAGGCCTGTAAAGTTTTCATATTTGCCATGATTTAGGTTTACTTTTTCTCTCTTCTTTTAGTTTTTATGAATTAAGGCAAGAATTCATGATTTTATATAAATTAATAAACAAGCAGGTTTTACATGAGGAGCAGGGGGACTTCCCTATTGTTAGGCAGAAGGCTTTACGACATCTCAGCTATTCAGAGGCCGTTATTGCCTTCTCCCTTCCTTGCTGCCAGTTGTATTATCACCTCTGTAAACACTGGCTGTGGTAAAAGTCAATGAGCTGCTTATTCTATTTAAGAGCTTCTTACATTGTTTTAAACATGAAATATCGTATGGTGAGTTCCCAATGACCAAGAGCACTTCAAAAAGATAACCACTGGAGATTTGGGAAGAAATACTTCGATACATAGCATATTCTTCTAGTGGGTCTATTTGGCAAAGCAATCTTTCTCTAACTCTGTACTATACTCCTTTGCAAATAATCCCAAAGACTTTTAAAACTTTCAATCATTTAACTCTGCCCTCTAAATAAGTGACAGGAAAAGTCTATTATAGAGCCAATACTTACCTAAAAATATCACTATAAGATAAATCTGAAGAAAAAAGGAAAATCTAACTTTGATTTTCACTGGATATGGCAATGTGAAACTGAATCTTCCTGTTTCATTGAATATTGGAATGGACTGGATCACTGCAACAGCTGTAAGCAAAAACAACTTGTTAGAAGCAAATGACATACAGTTACATCTAATGGCAGAGTCTTCTAACCCCTCAAAGTTTCAGTTCTGGGTTTGTTGAAAATGGTTCCTCCTCTCTTTGTACAGAGGGCTCATGCCTCTTCTTTTTTTCCCCCTAATTTTCTTAAGAAATGAGCCTCTAAGATGAAAACAGAAAGACTAATGAGAAACAGTTACTTGAAAGCGCTGGGCTTCACTTTCCTATCCTATAAAATGGAAACAAAAATCCCGACCTGACTCACTCTCTAGATGTTTGTCAAAATAAAATGAAATCATCAATATGAACTGCTTTGGAAAATTAAAACTATCACTTAAGTAAAAAAAAAAAAATGCAATACATAACCACCCAACTTCCAAACCTTAACAAAATGAGCTACTCCCCTGGAACAGTCTGGGTACTAAAACTATTACAGTAGGAAGCCACTAAAAGAAAATCTTGAAAAGTCCAACACCCATATATTTACTAAGGCTAGTAGAGGAAGGAAGGTCTGGCCTATTGGCTTAGCTATTCCTTGGAGCTAAGCTATAAAACCTAGAGTTCCTGAAAGTACCTTCTGCCAAACACCCTAGAGGATAAACAGGAATCCACAGAGTGTAACGAAGCCATGTGAGCACCTTCCAATCCATGTCAATGCAGTAAAGCATGTAGAAGGGGTACCTATTGAAAATAAAGAATTTAGATGTTAAAAGCCACATCAGATTCTGAATGCAACTCTAGAACAACATTCAAAAAGAATCATTTTACAATTAGCCACACATGGCTTCTTCAAAACCGAATTGGGCTATCTACCCAAAAACTCCCATCATACTCCTCCCTTAATCTTCAAAGGATATGAACTCTTTTTAATGATGAACTAAGTTTAAGTCTCAAAAGAACCCTCTCAAATGCTTCAGTATGTGGAAAGAATGCTCACAAGGTTTTTGGCTTTACTCCTAGTTCTAACTGACATTCCATGTAGATAAAGATGACAGACACTTTGACAGACACTTTATCTCTGGATAAATGAATACTATCAAAATTAAGTATATAAAAGACCTCCCATCTAGAATCAGACATACTGTATTTAAAAAAGAGATACTATTAAAAAATTTGTTTCTTCCCACACAGTAAAGGTTAATACCTATAATCTCTTTCACTTTTGTCTTAAATATATTAGAGAGTATATGGGTGCCCTGGGATACAAACCACAGTCAAGACACAATCTAGGGCTGCTACTGCCTCTTCTCCCTCTCAACAGTTAACTGTGCCAAAATACCACCAAACCTAAAGGTGAGGATTCAATCTGCAAAATCCTTGCTCCATGTGACAGAAAAGGGAAGAAATGTGGAATATGTATGGTCTGGTAGAGAAGAATACATCTACTTTAACTGAATCTTTTTTAAGATATTTAATTTATTGACAAGAATGGAAGAACTAGATAAGAGTTCAATTCAAACATCAGTAATTTTATAGTAAAAAGATTCATTTCTACCATCCCTTCTAGAGGGCTGGTCTTCACTAGTTCCATCCAACCTGGATTGCTCCTTCAACCCTGTTTCTTAAGCCTTCTCATGAATTTTTCTGTGTGAATGAGTCCTCTCTTTCCAACAACACGGCAAGATCCTGAAGGGTAAGGTGGGTCTTTCATTTCCCTGGATTTCTCCCTCTGCTCCCCAGTGCCCAGGTTGGTACTGTAACCCAATGACTGCTTTCAATAAACTCTGCCTCACCTTTGTGCAGAGCACACAGATGCAGCTAGAGCTCTCCATAGATGGAACCTTAATCCCAAACCAAATGAGACCCGCGATAAGACAGCAACTCCCTCAAGAAGAGAGCTGATCCAGAGGAGAAGCATTCAAACACCATCCTGGCATTTCTACCCACCTGAAAATTTCAATTGTGCTCCACAGATAAAACACAAAGAAAACCACAGCTTTATTTTGCATTTCTTCCATGGTGCCAAAGATGATAAACAAAATGAAATTTCTTCCAAAAAGCTATTAAAAAGATGCAAAAGAAAGAAAAAAAGGTCAAAAACATATTTTAAATGAACATATAAATGTGTTACCTGAAACCTAATCACACTAAATTCAAGGTAAATGGAAAAAGATTGAGCTCAACTGGTTTAATCCTCTGCTCCAATTTTGGAACAAGTTAAATGCCCACACCAGTCTTTCTGGATAACTGTGTATATGTGTAAATGTATCATTATAAATAGTATATTTTTTAAAATACACACATTCGAACACAGTTTAAAGGTTACTACCAAATGAACATCTGTGTCTGTATAAACCAAGTTAAGAAACAGACTACCACCAGTGTGGCACACCCTCCTTCCCCTAACTGTAAGTAACTACTATCTTGTGTTAACCATTCCATTGCTTTTCTTTACAGGTTTACTGCTTATGTATGTATTCCTAAACAGTATATTGTTCATGCTGCCTCTTTTTAAATGTTCTGAAATCGGCTATATGTATTTTTCTGTGACTTTTTACTCAGTGTTATGTTCCCAAGATTCATCCATGTCGATGCATGTGGCATTGCCCAGCTCCCAGAAGCTTCACTCACATTGTATTCTATGTGAATGGCACTCCATGGAGCCGTGTGATTTGATGATACTAAACCTGCCCCTTCCATCTTGCCCTAGAAATTCTACTCGAATGTTTATTTGTCATAGTCCTTGATATACAAAGAACATTATTCCATGTTAGTGGGTCACTCACTATCCCCCTTTTATTCTTTAAACTAAACAAAGCAGCCTCTTTCCAAGAGCAAAAACCTAGAAATAATAAGGCTATCGTATTAACACCCTTTACCATGGATCTATATATTAGAATGCCAGAGTTGGTATACCACAATATACCACAAAACAGTAGAATTATGAAAACAGTACTCCAGAAGAGATGAACAATAATCACCTGGTTCCCCCTGAGTCTGGGTGGGTGGTATTTAATGGTATGTGATTGAATAGCTAAACTGCTTCTAGGCCTTTTGACTAAGATCAAGTGTAACTGCATAGCTAGAAAACAGAAAGGAGGATGAAAGGCTTTGATGCCCTGTTCCTAATAATAATCTTCCAAATATTAGGAATCCCCATACAAGTAAGAGAGCCACCTTCACATATGGAAGAAAGTCCAAAGTAAAAAGAGTTCCTAGCCATTACACTGCCTTCATCTACCCAAAGTAGGAGGAAACCAAGGACATCTCTATCTAAGAAGATTGAGGGTAGAATATTCTGCTCCTGACTGAGAATCAAGTTTCCCTACTTTTACAACTCTTTTTTCATCTCTGTGATTTCATGAAAATGTTATAATGAAATAGACCTGATGGCAAAAATCTACTTTAGAAAATGTTTCTGAGGCTTAAAGTTTTCCTCGTTCAGAATAAAATAATGCTATTCCTGTGAAAATAGGTATTTTTACTAATTAAGACTTCTTAGTAAATTGTGGCATACCCACTAAATAAACACTGAGATCTTTCATTCCCCACCCTTGAGCTTTACTATTCAATACCTGGATAAGACAAGGTACCACTGGTGACGAAGTAACTCCAATTGCTGCATTGATAGTTTCCACAACTGCCAGCATCTGGCAGAAATACATCATGTCAGCCATGGTGTGGAATGTGTCATAGAAGGACTCTATGGGACAAATATATAGTAAGGGTAAATCAACTGGCAAATTCCAACAGAATTAATTCTCAAAATAGATAACTCCTTACATGAAAGGAACTTTAAGAAAGGTATAATAAACATCCAGTCAGATTCAAGTTTACAAACCAACTAGGATAGAGGGGAGCAGGCCTGTGGGGTCATAAATAGTCAACTCTACTGGCTACCACAAGGTTAATACATAAACCCTGTATGCCCATTTCGTTTTAAATGACAAGGAAAAAAAGCATACCTAGACTTCATTCAGTTATTATATGCTGAAAAAAATCTATGTATCAGGCACACTGATAATCCTTTTCAGATCCATCATCTCATTTAAAGCTAAAACTATATTACATATATTAAATGCAATCTAGCCTTTTAAAATCTCAAAAATTACATAAACATAAATGCAGAGGTACAAAAATATTGAATACAATTAATTTTCAAAAACCTTAACTGTGCTTATATACTTAATCCTAATTATTCTTATTCTGAGAATCTATCCTAACAAAAAAAAATCTAAAATGGAAAAAGTTTTAGAAACAAGGTTGTTCTCTGAAACATTACTCCTAAGTGCATTAAAGTAGAAACTGTCTAAATGTCTAAGAGTATGGGAAGTTTGAGTAAACTATGGTATATCTACTCCATGAATATTATGTAATAATTTAAAATAAATTATTGTTTATTTGAAGTCAGCAAATGTGGTATCAATTCTGAGTGGTCCATAATATACAATCCTTTACTTTTCATACTGATCCTCACTTGACATTCTGAATTCCTACATTCCTCTTTCCAGTATTTCTCAACCAGGGCACCACTGACATTTGGGCCAGGACAACTGTTTGTCCCACACATTGCAGGAAGTTTAGGATTCTCGGCTCCCTGCCTATTAAATACAAGTAGTGCTTCTGAGGATGTAGCAGAGTTAGGACAATTATCAACAAAGGTGACACTGTAAGAGCCTCAAAAGAGTATGGTTTTAAAATCAGACAAATAAAAAAGGCCCATGCAAAAACTGAAGAAACCCTCTAAAGTATTTTTGCAGAAATGATCCATTTTACAATCCTGCTACAAAGTCAAGTGTGAAATGAAGAATGGTATATAGTGCTACTGAATAATTTTACCAGAAAAATTCTACCAATAAGTAGGTAGAATTTGACTAATTCAAAATTAATCAAATTATTTTCTTCGAAGAATTAATACAAAATTACAATTTAAATTTTGCTACATATTAAGATAAAAAATTTATTTTCATAATTTTAAATGTCCCTTTTCAAGACAAAATCCCAATCAAATCTTTTTGTCACCATTTACAATGAAATTCTGGTATCCTTTTTAGGGGATTCTCCTTACATGGTACTTTTCCTGGGCAAATTATCTTTGAAAATCGAGGACCTCTCATGCTTTGAAATGAAAGTTGTGACTTAAGATTTGGTATATGCTAGACAAAAATTAGATCTTGTGGGCTCTGCCTCTGATTTTATGGGAAATTCATCCTTGTTTCAATTCAGGAATAGAAATCTAATTCCTAAAATGGTATTATAAAAAATATTAGTAACATTAAAATGCTTATAACATTTAAAAGATGTGAAATTGTATACACAGTATGATTTTAGTGTTTAACTAGAGAAAAAAAGACTAAAAGAAATATACAGCAATATTAGTAGTGATGGACAATGACTTATTCACCTCCAAGCTTTTCTTCCACCTCCGGCCCAGTTTTCCCCCCATTTTCCAAACTTTCTTAAATCAGCACATTTAGTTTTATGATTTGAAAAAAAATATTTTGAACGTAGGAAAAAGTACTCATATGTTAATGAAATATAGATTTAAATAGTGGTAGTATAAAAGAGTATATGCTTTCTCAGCACTATACATCAAAATCCTTAAAAACAATTTGTCCTTTTATCTTATAATTCTACCTCGAGAGTTGTTCCTAGGGAAGTTATGTGGGTTTGGAAAGATATACCAAGGCGCCAAGAATCTGCTGTTCTCATAGTTGGGATTATAGTAGAGTTTTTGTTTTATGTCTTTATTCTCTGATTTTCCTGTCATTAACGTATAATTAGAAAAAAAATTTTAAATTGATTTAATAAAAAGTTTTACTTAACAGAAAGCTAGACAAGCTCAAACAATAGTTTCTACATAAGCCCAAGAGTTCACTGCTCCTTCCTTAGCATATGAAGTTTAGCAAAATACATGTTTACGTGAAGAAACAAGTACATGTATGGAATTCGTCATTCCCCAACATCCGTTATGGAATGGAAAAGGAAAAAATTGCAAAAGGCAAACAATGACCCTGAGTGCCAGGCCCCAAGTCCTTACTGCATCTCTGAGGACTGATAGGGAAGAATTAAACCAGCAGCTGCATTCCAGTAGGTATAGCCAGAGGCTTGGAGCCAAAATAGAAATTACAAATCCAGGCAGCTTACTTTAAACACATGACCCAGATATCTTGGCAGCTTTTGGAATAGATCACCTAACAACCAGCCGGTTGCACAGCAACACTCAGAATCCAACTATGTTAGTTTAAATTGCGATTTACGGAATTCCAAGGTATTAAGACGGCTGGAAAAACAACATGCACTTCTTTTAAATGATTCTAAAGCTAACTACAATTCACCTTCTACAAATCTCAGATAGGAAAATTTAGGAGTCAAGAACAAAACAGTCTACAGAATTTTTTTCTCGTTTTAAATAGTTTATATTTTCCATTATACTTATATTTTCCCTCATAAGAAAAAAATAAGTAAAAATAAGAAAAAAGTATCCACATTCAAACCATTTGAAAATGATGCATTCTCCTCCCATCTTTTTGCATGTATTGGTTCAGTTTTTCCTTTTTATAGGGGTGTGATCGACTGGAAGAACATATTTATACGTTACCTCTTTAGCATGTCATCAGTATTTTCCCATGTTATTATAAACTCTTTTAAATACTTTATTTCACAACATTCCACTGAGGGAACATTCTAAACCAATCCTTCACTGATGGACATTTGTCACTGATATAAATGATCTCATAATGTCTATCTTTTTTGAAAAAGCTTTTCTTGTAGTTCCAATTCTTTCTTTAGAACATACTTCCAGAAGTGAAATTACCAGGTTCACGAATATGAACAGTTAAGGTTCTTGATTCATTATGCCAAATGATTTTCCAAGAGTTGTTGTAATTATGTACCCTCCAAGTAGCCATTAGTCCTCTTGATGTAGATATCCTTTTTAACTTTGCTAAAATTGATAAATAAAAATCTTATTTTCTTTATCATTACTGAGTTAAACAATTTTCTGAATATTAAATTATTTTATTTCCTCTTAAGAACTTTCTGTACATACTTTGGTTTATCTATTGGGCAGAGTTTTCATATTTTTAAATCAATTTGTACAAGTTCTTTGTATGTAAAGAAATCAACCCTTGCTGGTATTTGTTGCAATTTTCCACCAACCCTCCATTCCCACGCTGCTAACCTCAATATACTTTTAATTTTTAATGCTGTCTAATTGGGGTGGTTTTAGACACACAGGAATTTAGATATTTTATATAGTCAAATATATTGACCTTTTCCTTTATAATTTCTTCTAACACTTTTAAGTTTAGAAAGTCCTAACCTTCCATATGAGACTTTTATAAACATCTATTTATCTCCTATTTTAACTTTTTGAGATATAATTCTTAAATGCTTTGGGAGAACTTATTTTTTTATACAGTGTGAGAAGAGTTAAACAGATTCCTTGCTCCCTTATATGCCTAAACCTAACCAATTTTCCTTGGTCACATTATTAGATTTCCTGTCCAATAAAAAAGATTGGATAATATTTCCCTTTCCATTGATTAATAATTTCTTTTATATCATACATATATAACTCATATATATATAATGTAAGAGCTATTCCTGGGCCACCTAATCTGCTCTACTGATTAGTCTATTCTTAGTTTATACCAAGGTTATCCTATTTTGATTATCATTTTTTTCATAACAGGTAGATATTTCTTTCTTCTCCCAAATTTTATTATCTATTTCTTGTTCACAATAAAATTTCAGAACACTTTAGGTCACATTCTCAGAATTTTTTCCATTGTTATTTGTTTTGGCCAGAGTTCTGTTAAACAGACAAATTAATTTATAAAGCACTAATATCTTTATAATGGTCTTTTCATTCAGTTTTAGAATAGTCCACTTGAGACTCTATTTAGACTCCAAAGGGATGAGATCCCTCTTGGGCTTGCACAGCTTTGGCACTGAAAGCATCATATCAATTTCTTTAGTTATAAATAAACTATCTTGCTAGCCCAAGATGTGCCTCTGGCTAGCTGTGTGGATGTGGACCATTTCTTTGGCCATCTCTCAGCCTGTTTCCTCACCTGAGCATCCAGCCTGCCTGTTTCACATGTCATGGGAAATAAGAGATGTGAAAGTACAATGACAGCATGAAGTGCTACACAAATATGGGAGGTCATTATTAATACCAAAGGCAGAGAGTATTAACTTTGGTGAGCAGTGGGTCAATCTACTGAAAAAAGAAAACTAGCATTGAAATCTGGGACTTGCCTTTTCCCAAGATAAAGAACCGCACAGTCATGTTGACAAACATCCAGGAGAATCCCAAGAACTGCACAAGATTATACATGAACAGGTATCCTTTCTTCAAGCTTATAAGAGCTGAAAAGCAAAGCAAGACAGTAAACTGTTACAAGCAGTCGAGCAGGAGAGGGATACATGGGGCATACTCACATGACTTCATCCCTCTTTCCAACTTGGGTGCCTAAGCTCCCACTCATAACCAAAGGAGGAAAATTACAAACTGAGAGGCAGGAGAATAAAGGACATTAATTTTGTCTGCAGCCAAATGTTTGTGAAGACAAACCAATTACAGAGTTAAGGAAGGAGTGAGGGGCTTAGGCAGTAATGGCTGAGTCAAGGGTAAAAGAAGGGATAATTCTCAAGAGCAGAGCTATGGAGTTCAGATTCTACTGCCACAAATTTATTCCTAAACTACAGATACTCTGCATACACACTTGGTTGATGCTGAAATAATCACACTAAATAGTAATGTGGTTAAGCAAGAGCAATCTTATTCTAAGGGGCCAAAAATGTCAAACAAACTTTTAGCAACATTTAACTAATTAAAATTTTTTCTTCAAAACTATAAATATTTATTATACTTCCTATCATAAAGAACTTTCATCAGGAAATTTTATGTATTTAGATAAAACAGTTAAAGTTTTATTTAACATCTTAAAATCCATCTGTAAGAATTTTTAGATGTCTTTGAAGTACATCCCTCTAAAACACCAAAAATTAATTTAAATCTCAAAGTGGCCTTTTTATGTTGTTGTAGTTTTTTACCACCACTGTCTCCTTTCCTTTGCTTTTCTAAAAACATATTTCTCTATATTAGTAATTATTCACATCATTTTTTAAAGCAACGAAAACTCTTTTTCAAGAGAAACTTTATTCACAACTCCAATACATGAAACACAAAAGCAGAGCTGCTCTGATGGAAGTGGAACCGCTTGCTTGGCGGTTCCTCCAAAGCATCTCTGAGAATCCCTGGGGTATCATGGAATAGAGTTTGAAAACCACTGCTCTAAAACCGTCTCCTTCCTTATTTACAGCATGCCAAATAAGCACCACTAAAACTTGAAAAAGTATGAACAAACGAGGAACCCTTATTTTATTCTACTTTTCAGAGTTAGTTTTATATATACTTTCATGGACCTCCCTATATAATGTAAGCTCTTAGAACACACGAACTATGATGAAGTAATCAGCTCCACACTTCGAGGGCCTACTACAATGCATGCCATGCAGCAAGAATTTAATAGACAGCTGCTGAATATAACCTATGTCACCCAGAAGATAATATAGTTATAGAGTTTCTGTCTAACGGTGGTTAGACAGAAATAGAAATGATTTTTTTTTTTAAGGGTAACAACCATACTTGTTTGTGGAAAAGCCCTTAAGATCTCAGCTTGGAGAAAAACACCAGCTGGAAGGAGTGTAGCCTTGCACCTACATGGTATTTCCATATGTCCATGTAGGACTTGGTGCCACCGAAGAGAAGGCCAGCCCCAGAGACTAAAGTTCTCCCTTCTGCTATACCAGCCTGTTGTACTCAGATTACGTTAGGCCCCAAACAGAAGGGAAACATTAAAAATAAGACTTCTGATGTGGGTGCGCACATGGCTTAAGCACTGGACATTAAAGACTTCTCATCAACTCACCGACACAATATTAGCTCTCCTGACATGTCACACTCATCCAGATCCCCATCTCTATCACAAGTTAACTGGTAACTACCATAGCAGCAGGGACAACTTACTTTCAGGGGAGCCTTGGCTTTCAAGTCTGAGTTTATTTAGGCGTTCTTCTTCCTAGAATTTGGATAGAAGTTTTCCAAGAACACAAGTTAGGATTCCCAGATGCTTGCAAAAGTCCACATGCTAGATAAGTGATCTGACTGCCTCAAAGCCACCTCCTCCCATTGTGTTCATGCTTCACTGGGAAAAATGTCCTAGCTCATGGTGCCAAAAAGCCTGGCTCGTCCTTACGGTAGCACTAGCATCATAGAATGCCCATCTAATGCGCACAGAATTAAGCTAATCAGCTGGCTTCCAAACTACAGAGTGGGTAGTCCTGAAATTTTAGAACTGGGAAGACATCCAGATTTGTCACTATTATAGAAACAAAACAGAAATGTAAGGCAGAAGACAGATTGCTATTTTATTTTTTTTAGACTTCTATATTTTTAGCATAATTTTTCCAGAAGCTAAAATTATGTCTCCAACATAAGTATGAACTCGGGTTAGTTTTATAGATGGTTACATACAGAAATATTTATAGGTATTTGTATATGCATAGGCTAGTATGTACACATGTAGTTCCTTGTTCTGTTAGCGGAGAGGGCCTAGAAGCTATGGTGCCTCAGTAGCAATAAGCATACCCCAGCCCAGATCTTGGTATCCATTACTATTCTCCAATAAAAAGAACAGAGCTCCTTGAGGAATGGCTGATTCTAGGGCTGGAGCAAGGAACATACGAGATAGTGTAAACATACAATTAAGGAAGTGCTCAAAAAAAAAGCCTCACGACAATGGAGCTTTGTCAGAGGGACACAAGATCCAACTGAGCTTCAACTGCCAAAGCTAAAACAACTTGAGCGACAAAATAAACAACACAATATTATAACACAAACTATAAAATATGCATGAGTCCATACTCATATAAATAAGTAGGAGAAAACAGACAAATCTCCCATGCAGAATGATTCCAAATAAAGTATGCAGATATTCCATCCTAAGGATGGGAAGCATAACTCTCCTTAATCGTGGACTATGCATAGTCACTATCTTCTAAAGGGTAAGACACAATAAAGAAAGGTGGGAGTAACCCTATAGCGGAGAAATCTAACATGACCTCAGCCACATGATCAAGATCAATATCAATAGTGATAAGTCATGTTGACAGTATGTGCCCATGATATGATATGATAAGAATGAAACCTCTGGGGTCTTCCTCCCCGCAAACCAATCACTCTAGTCTAATCATGAGAAAAACATCAAATAAATCTCATTGAGGAATAGTCTATAAAAATATATGAGCAGTACTTATATAAAACCAAGTCTCCAGGTCTTTAACTAAATTTGTAACTTTGTCCTTATCCTATCAGACCCTGATAGGTGTCTGAGGTGGCCCAAATAACGTGGGTTCCTCATGATTTCTGTCTAGATCCTAGGGTCCTTACTGACCTTGGCTCTGAGCTCCATTTCCGCATCAGACTCGTCCAGCCAGCGATCAAAGTCAGGAGCCAAAAACAGTGGGCGCTTCTCCTGCTTGGTGAGTCTCTCCCACCACTGACTCACCTTCTTCTGTACAGTAATGTTTATCTGCCTCTGGGTCAGTTTATAAACCGGCTAAGAGAGAAAATGAGAATGTGAGAATGCTTCTCCTTCCCATTCCTCACCCCTTCCCCTAAAACTGCCCCAAGCCAGTGTGAGTACACAAAGAAGCTGCACTGAAGGCCTATGCTCCTTCCTTCTCTGTTCCTACGAGTCCTAATGCAAAGAGAACACCTAAACCAAGAGCTGATATAGTGAAGAATCAGTAAGAACAGCACTGTTTTTCTCTGATTCCCCAATGAATGACACGGGAGGAAATCAGGAAGAAAAGGCAGACAGTTCTTGGTTATCCTAGAAGAATCCTGATGAACCTCCCAAATCTTCCTCCCATGAAGATGACTGAATTCAAATGGACCCTAGCATAGTGAGTCTTGGTTTCAGAAAGGTCTAAAGAACTGTAGTAGATCAGATACAACTTTTCCACATGAGTTAGCCTAGGGAGTCTAACTAAACTCAGAGGCTATCCCAATTCATGATTCTTCTGCATACCCTCTCCCTATGCCTCCAAAGTAAGACCCATGACACATCCTCCAGCCCTGCTGACTATTAAAACAGCCAAAACAACTGAAACCTCCTGCAAAGAGACATCGATATGCTCAAGCCCCCAGAGATAAGTGTAATTCCAGAAACTAAAATACACCATCTGTTGGATTTTCTCCCTTCTTGTTAGATAACCTTCCTCAAGCTCGGAGAGAAGGGAAACTTCATTTATACATCCAGCATTCTTTCTAAAGATCGGCTGCCTCATCCTTTTCTGATTTCTATTGCCCCCAGTCACATGAAAGTAACACCCTGGTGTGGGCTTTCTCTATTCTATGAAACTCTGCTCTCTATGGGTACCATACTCCTCGGTCATCACTAAAAAAGAGAATGTCAAAGCTGGAAAAGACCCTAGAGAGTACTTATCCAATCCTTCACTTAATACACGAGGAAACTGGAAGTCAAGAAGCAAAGAGACTTGTTCATCCCTCTAATTAAGTGGCAGAGCCCAGATTCACCTCAACTTCTCTGACTTTCCCATTCCTCTGCAGCTAAACCTATATAAAAGAACTATAGTCTCTTGGTTCTGATCTTCTTTCCCACAAACCCTACTCCCATTTCATTAAACTACCAGTATTTATTTCCTAAAATGAAAACTGAAGTGAGAAAGAAATGAACATACCTCTGGCTTCACAAGGTCTAAGAACTCAAGGTGAAATTCATAGACATTGTCTCCTTTGGCACCGTGTCCCTGAGCTATGAAGAAAGAAATGTGTGTTACTATGAACTTGAGCAGAGCAAGGCCATCCAAAAGCTTGGTGCAGTTCTTTCAGAAGTATACGAATATTAATGGGCCCTGCCCAAATGAGTAGGGGCTTGTGAGAAGAGCTACTCAACAGCTAGATAAGCTAAATCTTGGAGAAAAATTTATCTCCATTATGTCCTTATGATGATCAGCTCCAGAGTATTTACTTAACCTTACAATGTGGCCCTGAAGATGTCCAGTACAAATAATAGGCAAGAAAAAGATTACAGAAAACAAAGCCAAAGATATCACACCAATATCATTTAACTTTCACATTTACTTCAGTGCTGAATTCAGAGCAGAGAAAAATCAGGTTCAGGAAAGCTGCAGGGTACATGAAAATGCTCAACTGTCTCAAAGAAAACTCTGAATCTAAGACCTCCCAACCAGGGACAGAAATTGGAGAAGGTGACTTCTCCTTTAGCACATCCCAAATGGAGCAAAAAAGAAAAAAAAAAATCTTTTCTCAGCTTATTCCTAAGAGAGGACAAATGACACTGGGAAGGAAGTTCCTGGGCTGACCACTGTGCCATTCCCATGCCTTGGCATGGCTCCTTCCAGCAGGTGCCATGCCTAGATGCCAGTGAACGCTAGACATCCCTCCCCCTCTAATTCTGACTTGTCTATCATTTGGTTCCCTCCCAGGATTCTCTTTCTTCTTCTGGCCATATGTGGTATAATATGCCTAATATTTGCTACAGGTGGCTACTGTTCTCTAAGACCATAAATTCATTAAGGCAGGAATAAGCTCCAAGAGGCAAGATACATTTTGACCGCTTTAACTTCCTTTCAAATGGATAACTCCAAAAAAGATCTGAACTGCTGCCACAACCGCTCCCATCTTGAAAAGCAGATACAAGAGCCAGGCTGTGTTTTCATGCAAGTATATTAAGGTAGATGGAATCTCATGAAAAACAGAAACGCTTCAAGGTCCCATAACCCTAGTCACTTACAAATGACATTCCAAGGAACTAGAAGAGAAAAAGAGTAGGGAGAATCCCACTCCCATTGGGTGACAATAAATCCAGATCTACCCTCTCAGGCACAGCAGCAAATCTGATGAACTGAGGAGAAAGGACATGGAGGCAGACTCACAGAATCAAAGAGTGTCAGGGCTGGAAAAGCTTTAGGTATCATCTAGTAACTGGTCTGTAAGCGTAATATCAGGGAGCCACAAAGTGTCATTAAGAAAATTTCTATTTTTTGGTTTCATTATAATCTTAAAAAAAAAAAAGATCATCTAGATAGCTACCTTATAAACGAGTAGTACCACACAAGTTCAGTGTGTTTCTCAGTCTGGGTGTATGGCCCTGAAGGATACTAAGGACATATTCTCAGGTGACTGTGGGTCCTCTAGTTTAAGAAACACAGCTTATTATCTAATGGCCCCATTTTATAGGTCCAGAGAAGTCAATAAGTTGTCCAAGGTCATAGTAGAACCAGAGCTAAAAGAAAGATCTCTTTATTTCTATCCTAAGATTCTTTTTTGCTATACCTACTGCCTCTCCAAGGAGAAAGCAGGATTTTAAACAAATTCTTTGACTTTTCTAATCATATATTTGAAAACAATCTAGTTTACCCCAAAGTATTAGAGAGGTGAGCATAAAAAGACAGTGAATTAGACAAATAGATAAAAAATTTTAAAAAGAAACCACCACTATACCTCTTTAACTGGGTAGAGAGCTGAGAACATTTGACTGGATACTGACCTTTGAAATGCAGCACATTTTCAGTGATGCTGATGGCAGGATTCTGTGAAAAGAGACCAGGGATGAGAGAAGGGCATTTTAATGAGGAGAAAATTTAAATTAAAACCAGGGGCTTACTTCTCTCCATCTTTCCACCTTGGGGACTCAAGTTCCTACCCTGTACCCACCCCCAGAGAATATATTTAGTCGTTTATTTACATCTCTGTGTATGTCTATCTGTACCGGATTGAGATTGCAGGCTCCTGCAAGAAAGACCCTAAAGTGCTCTAATTATGCAGAACAAGCAAGATACTGAGCCAGTCCATTCTGACAATGATAAATGGTGCAAGGTGCTATGTGAAGTGTTACTGGGGCATACACAGATCTCTAAGACACAGTTCCTGCGCTGTGGAAGCTGAGAATCTAGTGGAACAGATGAGTCATTTCCTGTGAAAAGGTATCAAATAGTATCAAATAACAATACACAGATCTCTAAGACACAGTTCCTGCGCTGTGGAAGCTGAGAATCTAGTGGAACAGATGATTCATTTCTTGTGAAAAGGTATCAAATAGTATCAAATAACATACGCTCGAAGCCAAAAGAGTAGTAAAGAGCAGTAAGGGTAATAGGTAAAGACCACAATGGGAACAGAATGGTTGGAGAAAGCTTCACTAAGTGTAAAGCAGGTATTGCAACATGAAGAATAAATTAACTCTAATAGGTAGAGGGAAGGGCTGAGGATTAAATGGTTGGATGAAAATAAAACATGCAGTGCCTTAACCTCAGGCTTCATACTCTTAACTCCCATCCAAACCAAGACTAGAAGAGAACAAAATTCTTCAAATTGTTCATTGGTTCCCAGAGGTGGCTACATGTCTTTAGCAGCATCAATTGAAGTGAAACTACTTAACTTTTTTCGGTGGATGAGAAATAACTCACCTCCTACTTCCCAGCTCAAAGTTAATAAACAAGCAGCAGCATGTTCCTAGCGCCATAACTAGTTAATTTACTTTTCTCCTGTAGGCTCAGCTCTCTGTACTCCATCATGTCTCAAAGAAAATCAAGTAGACAAGACAGATGGCTGGAGAGGGCAGTGGGTGCCCAGACGCTCTATCCATAGCCAAGAGTGTTGGGAAAATGGGAAGAATGAAGGCTTGGAGCATGGAGATTATTTGAGCCAGCTTTATGTTAAGAACTTCCATCGTGGCAGTATAGATTTCAAGCTCAGAAGCTCAGCCAAAGAGGATATAACAATCCAGATGATCTTCTCTGTGGCAGAAGGAGAGAGTTAGGAAACCTCAACAAAAAAGGCTGCACTTCCAGGGTTCCTCAGTAAGGGAAACAGTTTTGATGTAAATATTATCGTGAAAGCTAGAGTTCTGGTATATCCTGGAAGTAAGTTTCCAACCTAGGTTACTTCTTGCCCAACCCTGTTCTCTATACTCTAATTCACTTGGAAGGAAAAGAGCAGGTTTGGGGATCCAGTTTACTGTCCTCAGACAGACAGCTGTGTGCAACCAAGATCTAAGAATCTAGCCACAGCACAAGTCCAGGAGTTACCTAAGCATTTCTATGAGCCAGATTTTAGATGCTAACTCAGCAATAATGGACCAGCTCCTGCCCAGAAGCACACCAGGCATGTCTGGTTCCCCTTCTCCAAAGGTGGTGGTAGTAGAGGAATATAGTTCATTAAAAAAAATGCCTATGCCAAAAAACAAGTTCAAAATTGGAATGGAAGAGACCCTGAGCAAAAAAATTTTTTTCATTTATATGTTTACAAGTGAGATTGGACTATAATTTTCCCTTTCTTATATCTGCTTCATAAAATGAATTAGAGAGTATTCCCTCTCTCTCTTCTCTGGAAATGTGGTAGCCAGTCTTCAAGATGGCCCCCAGTGAGGCTCTTCCCCTGGTATTTACACCCTGTGTAGTCCCCTCCCAACTGACATCAGCAATGATCTGAGTAACACATAGAATACAGTGGAAACAACGATGTGACTTCTGAGGTTAGGTGACTAAAGCCACTGCGGCTTCCATCTATGCCTCTTGGGCTGTTCACTCTGGGTAAAGCCAGACACCATGTCATGACAGAATATGCAAGTGGTCCTGTGTGGAAGCCTACATAGAAAACTAACTTGTGGACACCGACTTGCCAACACAGTGAGACATCCCTGAAGTGGATACTCCAGGGCATCATATGACCTCAACCACAGCTGACAAATGACTACAAGCTTGTGAAGAGATCCCAAGCTACAACAATCCAACTGAGTCCTTCCCGAAGGACCAATAGAACAGACAGATGATAAATGATTATTGTTTTAAATCACTACATTTTGGGGTGATTTGTTATGTAATAGATAACTAATAAAACTGAAATTACTTCCTTAAATGTCTGGTCGAACTAGTGAAGCCATTTAGACCTGGAAATTTCTTAGTAGGAAGATATATGGATTTATTTAATGGGGTGGGTATTTAGGTTTTCTATCTCTTTGATATAAACCATCTTTGCTTTCTATGAATTGATTCATTTTATCTGATATGAATTGAATATTCTCTTAGCTTTTTAATGTCTGTAGCTTCTGTGGTTAATTCTTTTTCATTACTGATATGGTTTATGTCTTAATCTTGTCAAGAGATCTGTCCATGTTAATTGTCTTTTCAATAACTAACTTTTAACATATAAAAAAATTCCAATTAAAAAAATGGGCAGAAGACCTGAATAGGTATTTCTCCAAAGAGGACATACAGATGGCCAATAGACATATGAAAAGATGCTCAGCATCACTAATCATCAGAGAAATACAAATTAAGATCACAATGAGATATCACCACACCTGTCAGAATGGCTATCATCAATAAATCAGAAACCAACAAGGGTTGACAAGGATGTGGAAAAAAGGGAACCCTCCTGCACTGTTGGTAGGAATGCAAATTGGTACAGCCACTATAGAAAACAGTTGGGGGGGTTCCTCAAAAAATTAAATATAGAACTACCTATGACCCAGCAATTGCTCTTCTGGGTATTAATACAAAGAAAACCAAAATACTAATTCAAAAAGATATATGCACCACTATGTTTACTGCAGTGCTATTTACAATAGCCAAGATATGGAGGTACCTAAATGTCCATCAACAGATGACGGGAGAAAGAAGTTATGGCACATATATACAATGAAATACGACTCAGCCATTAAAAAAATGAAATCTTACCATTTGCAACAACAATGGATGAACCTAAAAGATATTATGCTAAGTGAAATAAGTCAAACAGAAAAAGACAAATACCATATGGTTTTGTTCATAAGTGGAATTTAAAGAACAAAATAAATGAACAAAAAATGAAAACAGATTCATACATACAGTGAATAAACTGGTGGTTGCTAGATGGGAAGGAGTTTGGGGGTGCTGGGTGAAAAAGCTGAAGGATTAAGACAAATTGGTAGTTACAAAATAATCGCAGGGATGTGAAGTACAGCATAGGGAATATAGTCAATAATATTATAATGACTGTGTATAGTGCCAGGTGGGTACTAGAGTATTTGGGGGGATCACTTCGTAAATTATATGTCTAACCCCTATGCCGTACAACTGAAACTAATATAAAATAATATAAATAAATATCTTTGCTTTCTGTTTCTGCTCTTTCTTTCTTCTTTCCTTTAACTTTCTTTGGGAGAATTTGCTATGTCTTTCTTCTTGAAATGGATTCACGAGTCATTAATTTTCAGACTTCATTATTTTCTTTTAATTCATGCTTTTAAATGTAAGCATTTAAATACATAAATGTCCTGCCAACTCTTACTTTGGTTGTCTCTCTCAAGCTTTGAATGTAGTATTTTCTTTACCATTCAGTTTAAAATATTTTCTAATTTCCATTATCATTTTCTTTTTGAAACATGGGTTGCTGACAAGTGTTTAACTACCAAACACATCAGATTTTCCAGTTATCCTATGCTATTAATTTCTACCCCAATTACATTGTGATCAGAGAACATTCTCTGTATGATTTTAATCATTTCAAATTGTAGAGATTTCCTTTAGGAAGCGGTATACAAATGTTCTGAGTGAACTTGAAAAAAAAATGTATATTCTGGAATTATTAGATGCAGTGTTCTATATATCTCCATTAGGTCTCCTGTTAATTGTTCATAATCTATATCTTTATTGAATTTTGTCTTCTTATTCTGTCAATTACTGAGAAATCACACTATAGTAAACATCTATTTCTCCTTGTACTTCTGTTTATGTCCATGTTATAGAAGCATATTACTAGTTACATATAAGTCTAATATTGTTATATCATCTTCTGGTGAATTGAAACCTTCATCATTATGAACTGATCTTTTTATGTCTAAAAATATATTTTTGCCTAAAACTCTTATCTGATATCAGCATAGCTATACCACAAGGATCTGCATTTGCTTCTCTGCCAGGCACCTACAAGCGCTATCAATCAAGACCACTTTCAATTAAATTCATGGCTTAAGGGTTTTTCAATCTCCGAAATTGTGTAAATTTGGGTTGCATGTTCATTTGAGAGCCAACTAACAGTTTAATCCCTCAAGGACTTTTTCCTCTACTTTGTTCAGTGCTAAAGCATATCCCCAGCATATCTCTCCATTAACTACTTCAGAGGACTATACACTTGTAGAGATGAACTAGAGGTAATGGAGTAGTTAATGGAGAGAAGGGTTTCCTATTACATATTGCATCTTTGGTGGGCTTTGATCTTACTTCTGTCCCCTGCACTGCTAGGCTGTCAAAACCAAAGTTCAAGTTTACTTACTTAAGCAAATGTTCTCAAGGCAAAAGTAGTTTTGGTGTTCAGCTTAATTCTCTTAATTCCCAGTTTATTTTCTAATTTATTGACTCTTTGATGATTTTACATTTCTATTGAACACTTCTGTTTTTAGCAGGGAGGTTGATGTGCACAGCCCATCTTTTGTTAGAGACGGAACTGTGCCTTGCTTATGAAAAGAGGAGTGAATAAGGAAAAAGGTAAAAGGTGGCTTTGAGGTCAGATGGACCTGGGTTCAAATCCTACTTATATTAAACTTATTTTT